TCCTCTGTTATCTCTTTCATGTTCTACCATAGCGTTTCCTCTGTTATCTATTTTATGTTCTATCATAGCGTTTCCTTTGTTGTCTGTTTCATCTTCTACCATAGCGTCTCCTCTGTTATCTGTTTCATGTTCTACCATAGCGTTTCTTCTGTTATCTGTTTCATGTTCTATAATAGCGTTTCCTCTGTTACTGTTATCTGTTTCATGTTCTACCATAGTGTTTCCTCTGTTATCTATTTCATGTTCTACCATAGCGTTTCCTCTGTTATCTGTGTCATGCGCTACCTTTCTGTTATCTATTTCCGGTTCTATCATAATGTTTACCGGACTTCAGCTGTTTAACTTGTGTTATTTATTTCATGAGTTTACTGTACTTAAAAGGTTAAACCATTGTTATCTATTTTGTGCCTTATCATAGTGTCCTCGGTCCACAGTATTGGTGCGTGTTTTACTGCTAACGTATAACTTACGTTATGTTATAGGATTTATTGATCGTCAATTTTTGAAAGTTTACTATTTATCACATGCTCGATGATAGCGTGTATTGGATTTTTTTGGGGAAAATCTAATCATCTATCTGTGTTATAGCGTGTACCTGACTTTACAAATGCATTGTTCGTTACAATGTTTTTAAATCTATTACAGTCTAAAGTTCAGCCCCACTAATCTGTGGGAGAAGGCGCGGGAACGATCGATTGCGCTAACACTTGTGCTGTAGCTCATGTCGCATGTAGTTCAAGCATGTCATGGGTTATTTCCTGATTCGTATGGGACAAAGTGTGGGGTCGCCAGCGTAACCTGGTGGGTTGTCTCCGTTGCCTCCAGATACTACCTGTTTTCCTACCACCCCCCCCCCCCCCCCGAGCGCCGCAAGTTAAGTGTTAGTCGTGAAATGGCCTGTTTAGTATCAAGTGGTCGTTAAATATCTTTACAGTGCGTTTTCCATCAATTCAATCTATTGTGATGTTGTTGGTTGATTTGGCTGCTCAATAAAGTGTTATTTATGAGCTTGCAAAGTTCCTCTCCACCATTCTGTCCGTTAAATCTTCCAGCAGATTGATAAACGGTGATATATGTTTAACTCGGTGAAAGATTTTCTATACAACCTGGTTAATATACGAGGTGCTATCCGTCATCATAAATTTTGTCTTGTGACTTTTTTGCTGAGTTTATTGTTAGAATCATTGATCCCCCTTTTTTTGGAGATACTATGTTTCTTGGGTAATAGATTAGATTGATTGAAAACTTCGGGAAGATTGTGGTAGAATGCAAATCTTGTACTAAAAGATTTGATTTAAATGCACTCTTCAGATGGATTAGAATGGATTGCTTCCAGCGAGATTGAACAACCGGCTAACTGATTGTTGTTTTAATTAATGATTTTATTCACATTTTTCAGTTCATCATTACTGGTGTTTTGGGTTTATGGTGTGCTAAGAAGAAATCTAACTATGTTGTAAGTATTTTTCGAACCGTCTCATGCGGACGAAGTGCTAGGTTTTGATTCATTCAGATAATTTAATTGGCGTTGAAATGGACAAAATCAGTTCTCGTATTAGGTGTAAAAAAATATGAACATGATTGATTGATGTATATTTTATACAATATTTTCTCATTAATTTAACTCGAAAAATAGTTTTAAAAATCTGCGGAACAATACATGAATTGCCACTAAACGTCGCTATGTTGGATTTGACGTATAGTAGGTCAAAAGTCAATCGGCGAATCTTACACGGTTGTATTTTTCTGTCCTGAAATCAACCGAGGTGAGGCCCAAAAGAGAAGTCATCGAAGATGATATACATAATATGGTCGCAGTTTGATCTTAAAGAAACCCGAAATATTCATAGGCGTACAAGCGCGAGGGAATTTTCGGGCTCTGTGGAAAACCACTCAAATACAGCTATATTGGACCACATTCTTTTTGCTGAAATCACGGCCCGGAAGAGCAGTAAAACGTGTTTTCAGTCGTCTAATTTTCAAATTTTGTCTCGGCGACGCCCCCATTCCTTTCTGTCCCCATCCTGTAAAATGTGAAATTTAGATGGACATAGACTGGGATTTCGATTGCAAAACAACATAAATAAGGTTACATTGGAAAGGGAATAAAAGCTATCTCATATATATATATATTAATATTTTATTATTATTTCACTATGGGTATACAGACTTTTATGTATACCCTTCTCAGAAAATGTAGGCTACATTGTTTTCTTACGTGAGGTAGTCCTTGGCTTTATCTTTAATAATCTTTGAATGTTAATTATTTTAATGGCATTAAGTAATTGAACTGGAAATATACAGGTGCCAACTCCATGGAATTACTCATTATTACGAAATGTCGCTCAGCAATAAACAGTAATAGTAATTGTATTCCATAGAATTGTGACCTTGGTATTGCTTTGAAAGCAAAGTCGTAGATAGACGTCATTTTTGCTCCGATTGAACTTTGACCTCTGTAATTCATACGGTGGAACGGATATCGGCGATTGGCCTATTAAGATATTCTTATAAAATTGGGACCTAAGATTATTCAAATTTAAAAATTCACTTTGAAAGTAAAAAACATGGCCGTAATCATTGTCTGGATTTGTTGCCAATTTAATTTAATTCTCCCTCATTCAGTATTCTGTTTAGAAAATAAGACTAAAAGTAAAACAAACGGTTGTACTGATGCACCGGAAGTTATGTTATCTACAGAGCACAGACCGTGAAACTGCTAATGCGCGTTATGATATTGATCACTAGTGTGAAAAGTGAATTTGTCATTGAATATTTTGTTTTTCAGATTATGTGCTTTACAGCGTTCTCTGTGGTGTCCTTGGTAACGGCCGTAGTCAGCATCCAGCTACTGAGACTTGGTTTGGTAAACCACACCACTGATGGTCACACGTTTCAAAAAGAAAACAAAGACGTGCTCATATTTATCGCTCTTGGATCAGCCGGATTGGAATGTCTTATCTGTCTGTTTTCATCAGTCGTCAGTTGTCAAATCGCAAAAATCGCCAAGTACGAAAATTCGAAACAAAAGGCTGGTATGTTCCACGTGAAAGTTCTTGGACAGAAGGATATAGTCGTAGTTACCAAGCCGTCAGTAGAAAAGGAAGAGGTTACGGCAGTGTAAGATGATTTTCTGTCCTGATATTCGGCATTGTTTTTGTCTAGTTTTAACAAATGTTACATCTTAAGTAATCTATTTCGTCAAAATTTATAAAGAAATTCACTATCACTGCTAGAGAACCAGCATTGAACCCTTATAAGACAAAACTGATTTATAGAAGAATATAAGTTATTGGATTGTGAACACTGAATATTTCCTCTTTAAATTGTTGTTTACAGTTGTGATTGTTACAATTCAAGTTATAAAACTTCATTCGCGTTATCAGTTACAAGAGACATTCTTTTGGAAAAATGTGAGAGGGGAAAGAACTCTTATTGAAATTTGAAGAATTTGTATTCCATTTTTTCGAAACAAATAATGAAAAAAATCTGTTTTTGTAGTGTGCTGTGGCTGGTGTTTTCTATATTTATTGTATTCATATTGTGATACTGTATAATTATATTTAGCTTTGTTAGCAAATTAATGTAGAGAATGGTTTCTGTAAATAATCGATTTATCTCCCTTATTTTGTTCCGGCACGCCGTATCTTTTCATGTAAATACGCCAACGATATTAAGCGGTAGTAAAATTATGACGTTTTTAATTAGTTCATAAATTAAATGTATTAATATACCTAATGTAATAACATGCTGTCGGCCATCTCCTTTAAGAGAGAAGTTTTAGCTTACCATTTACGCTGGAATGACACAATTTGCAATATTGAGAACACTCTGCTGAATATACATTGCTTTATTATCGTTTTCTTTATACGTGATCTGTCATACTGGCGGGGGTATGGAAATATAAAAACACTGAGGACCATTCACACCCTTCAAATACATTCGTTATTATACAGCCACAGTTTATGTGGGAGCATAATAGTCTTTATCCCAGGGGGCTTGGATGGCCGAATGGTTAGCACGTGAGCGCTGTATCATAAGGTCTGTCATTGTGTCAATTGGCGTGGTTTCGATCTCCGGTTGTACGTGACAAGTAGCCTGTCTAACCTCGTGGGTTTCCCCCGGGTCCTTCCCACAGCTAAAGACCCCTGCGCGCAAGCGAATTATTGAAATAAAATTAAAACCATGTGTTAGTCCCAAAATGACCTAGTTTGTGTCAAGTGGACGTTAAACCCATTTCTCTCTCCCTTTCTGTCTTTATCCCACACCTCCCATCCATCAGTCATTGTTGGGGATTTGTCTTTTCAAACTTGCTGAAATTGTTCGGGACCCTAGTAAATGGCGTGCAACGAATTTTCGCAGAGCTACTGGCACTGTTGCCAAATTTGTAAGAGCTTTACATGTCAGAGTTCTTGTAATCCTTTTTGTTCGGATTTGCTGGGAATGTCCGACTAGTCCTAAGGAAATGAAATGCAATGAAATGGGGTTTAACGTCCAACTGACTAGTCCGAATGGGGAAACCTTTAGAAATTAGGCAGCAATTCTTTCCGGGTTACTTCAGGTCAAAGTTCCCAACGTGGTGGGGTTGTTTGGCTTACCTGAGATGAACTCTAGCGTTGTCCTAAATTGTCAACAATTTACCACAGAACATGATAAAAGTCATATATGAGTCGCGCATTTTAAAGAAACGCGCAAGCATTAGTTATCATTTGGCGTTGTTTTACCACTTTGAAGCTGTTCAACACTTTTGACTATTGATTTAGAAACATAACATTAAAACACCTTTAAAGGTCTGCCTTGACTCCTTTGACGAGAAAATACATGTACCTCGCTAATGTATATTGGTTTAGTAAATGGGGGTCCATGTCCAACGCCTGGTGATTTGATTTCAAAAGACAAGTTATTCCTTTTCTTACAGAATAAACACGTCAACATACTTATATGTGTTATATTTTAATATCAAAATATATCATAAATAACAAGAATATTTAAAAAATATCAAAATTATAACCAAATGTAACAAGTGTAAATAATTACGTATATTGCACTAAACTGTCCAATAAAATGGACGGAATTAATTACGTGATAATATTTAAATCCTTCTCACACGTATAATGTGAATATTCTTTGTTTCATTAAAATAATTCTACAATAAAATAATATCTTTCGAGTAAACAAAACATCATGCAATTTTAGCAAAAAAATAAAATAAAATATTTAAAGCCCATGTGAAAAGTTATTATATGATTTCCAAATTTAGGTCGGATTCAATTTAGCAAATATAAAAACAAGTCCAGTGATAAACTAAAATTCATAGACAGTGCGGAAGAGCTATTTTATAAAACAAAATAGCCTCGTCTCTCTTTATCTTTGGATGTTTGCCGCAGTGTCCTAAACTATTCCCGGCATGAACGCATTCTCTTTTTTTAATAAATTACAGTACCGGAAGTAGTCAAATCTCGCCAACACTTTTTTCTCCAATATTGAAAGCACTAAATAAATGAGTCTCTGTCAGCCTAGTTCTAGTCTTTAGCGCACGTAGAACATTCGACTGGATAATAGAGGCTGTCAATGCAGTAAATTTGATCGTTTCACCTGTTAAACAGATGAATTGAGTGCCTATACACATCGATAGGCTGTTCTAAATGTTTCCTTGGCAACGGTGACATACTTCATTCTGAAATTAAAAAGACAACAGTTATTAGTCGTTGATGAATATATGTTGTACACAATTACGGCAACTTTTTGACCGAGAATGTACGTATATATTTTCTTGCAGTAATAAAAATTTGCCCATCTCAGAATAAGTGCACAGTTAAAACATGAAGTAGGCTAATCTCCATTTCTAATTACGGGTTGATGTCAAATCATTTTTTAAAGTTTATATGTAATGGTGGTTTTAACATAACATGATTACTGTCCAACTTTTAAATTTTCGTAATTAAAGGGAGGTAAGTGCGCGTTTTCACAGGGGAGATAACTACTTCATACACGTAAAGATATTTACCTGGTTTGAACGCATCTCTTCCACTTCCACGGACCACATCTCGTGACAAATTCTTCTCTCACAACTCGTCTATAGCTCCTTTTATATGGTATGGTATATTGTTCATATTTACAGTTTCTGCAAAATAAAATGGTTTTATTGCTTATAATCTAATTTACATAAAAAATAATAGGCTACCACGTTAGCTTATTTTATCCATTAAAATACTTATAAAAATGACTATTAAATAAATACTATTTGGTAAACAGTGTACATGGATATATATTAAATTAATATTAAATATATATTAAAGATACGAAAATGCATCACCAGTATACCTGACGCAGAACATAATTTGATTAGCGAATAAATTAAAGAATTTTTGAAAATCAATCATGCCTACCTGATTTCACAAGTTTTTCCAGCAAAACCTTTCTTACATTTGCATTTATTATTTCTTCTACATTTTCCTCCATTCAAACATTTCATAGAACATTTCTCTGTAAACACAATATTATAAAACATTGAAGAGTTGTGTTCACTTCGTAACTGGCTGGGTTAAAACAGGTTAACAGCCTTCATATTTTTACCCACTGTTGTGTTATATTATATAATTTGTAAATTGTTATCGCTTTCCAAATTTAGTTTCAGTTCGTCATTTAAAGATTTTCAAAGACAATGAGTTAACAGATAATATTTAAAATTTTCAGAAATACCCCGCATTAAGACAAAAACTGTGCGAGCACCACAAATCCAATAGTATCATTTGGTATTATTTCCTACCTTTATGACATCGTCTGCCGTGAAATGAAGGTGGACATTCACATTTATTAGGCCCTATACATTTCCCACCATTTTTGCATTGCTTGGTGCACTGAACTGTAAAATAAAATAATAATAATCAATCAGTATCGTACATGTCAGATAGATAACAAACCAATTACTGATTTATGGCCCAAGCGTATTTCAAAAAGTTCTTTTTCGGTTTGGCAATTACTTTTATAAGCTCGAAGTGTTTGAATATTTGAAACAACTAATTAACTGCATTGGAATATTTATAATCATTTGGTATATTCATTATATTTAAGAATAATAAAAACTTACACTGTTCGCATCGGGCACCAAAATAACCCCTTTTGCACATGCAAGTATCCGGTGCCACACATTTTCCTTTATTCTGACATTTTGGTCGACATTTAGCTGAAAATAACATGTCAAACGTCAAAGTACTTGAGAAAAAAAAAGCATTTTATGATTGTGAAACTTTCCATTCTTTTTATTCAACTTGTTACAAACACTTGCATTTGGCCCTGGGGATATATTAAAAACACTCGTAGATCGTCCAGCGTTTTTCCATTTTGTATTTAAAAATGTAGTTTTAATATTTCATAAAAATGTGTATCCTTTCAATTTGTTTGGAAATACGGTATGCATATTATTTAATCTTACCTTTATGACAATATTGCCCTCTATAACCACGTGGACATGAACATTTTTCTGGTGCAACACATTTCCCGCCATTAAAACATCCCAGAGAGCAGACGGCTAAAAGGAAAATCAATCATCACATTAAAATTCAAAAGTTAAAGCTAGCAAAATGAAAAAAAAAAAACCAACGATAACTAAATGTTCAATCTAAATATAATTAGAGACAATCAAATCATAAATAATAAAACTGTAACAAAATAGAAACTTACGTATGGAGCAGTCCTGGCCGGAGTACCCCTTTGGACAACGGCAGATGTTGTGACGTGTACAGACACCGCCATTATGACAAATTTGGAAGCAAAATGCTGTAAAAACACAAACGATAAATAAACAATTAGTTATAATATAAGACATTATTCGGGGACGTGTTTTAATAAGGTTTAGTGAGCTGACAGAAATATATTTAGATTATTGTTTGTGTGTTCTAAATTGGGAGGATAGGCCTACGTCAAAAAACAAATTTAAAATGGACTTACGTTTACATTCAGGACCAGAAAAGCCACTCAGACATTCACATTTTCCTGGTGCCACACATTTTCCGCCATTTTTACAGCCTAGGCCACAGACAGCTGAAATTAATATAAAGCATGCTTTAATGAATTCAGCAAGAACAGTTCTGCTATTTATAAAGCATAACGGTTTACGTTATAATAGTGAAACTGAATAAGGTTGATTACTTACGTTGACTACATGTATTTCCGGTATACCCATAAGGACACGCACATTGGTTAGGTGCAATGCAAACGCCATTATTTTGACAACCTTGGTGACAAATAGCTAAAATGAAATAAACAAATTTATATTAAACTACAAATATGCCTACGTATATCCCGATTAAATTCGAAATTCGATAAATAGAATGGTGAAGTGAAGTAAAAGAAGGATGAGTTTCCAGCGCAGTGCACCCGACGACGCAGAACGGGGTCAGGATTGGTCATAATTAGTATTCTGGGGCCTGTTTCACGAAATTTTAACTAAGATAAAATCCAAATTTTAGTAATTTGATTGGATAATATTAGATTGATTTTAGTGTTTAGCCAATCAAAATTGAAGTATCTACTAAAATTTGAATTTTATCTTTAGTTAAAATTTCGTGAAACAGGGCCCAGATATGTTCTCGGTATGGTTTATTCGTTATTACGTTTTTAATTATCTTAAAATGATTTGTTATTTACCATCTTGACAATGATCACCCTGGTAACCAAGAGAACAGCGACATCTACCATTTATCTCACAAACACCTCCATTTAAACATGGCGAAAGGCACGGTTCTGTAAACAAAACAAATAAAAAACTCATGAATAAACAGGTTTAAAATTATCAAATTAATTCGTGCGATTTTAATTTTTAATCATTGTATTCTTTAAACATCGTGGAATATTACAAGATCTTATTTCTACATGTATGTACAGTTAATATATTGAAATAAATCACTTGATAGACTTTGATACTTTTATATAGAAATTTAAAAGAAATTTTAGGAACAAACAGAATATATATGGGAATGTGTAAACGCCAAGCAGTAGGGACTAGTATATAAATGTATCTACATAGAATTGTGTTCAAATAATAAATGTTTCAGATATATTGGCATAGATTAGATCAAGACTATACATAAAAATCAGTGGTTATTAGAAAAGGTTAATAGCAATAATATTTTAAAGCTTCAATTTTAAATAGAAACGCTGAGCCACGAAACTAAATTAAAAACTATCTAAAAGCAAGAACCACGAAACCGCAGCAGACGATGCAATAAGCACTAAAGACTATGATATATAAAGCAGCAGGTTGTTCACGTCTACCTGCTACAATCAGAGTTCATAGTTCAAGGGTTCATAATGTCAGGGTCATTCTAGCACCTTTACAGTGTTGGAGGTAGCAAATTCGGGTCTGCACCGGAGTACTACTGTGTGGAAGGCAGCTCTCCAAACTCAAAACATTATTACTACAATACATCGTACGAGATTGGCTCCCTCTACCACAGGTGGTGCTACAGCTTGACCATTCCGACCAATCTGAGGAGAGTACTGCAATTCAAATTCAGAAGATATGATTTTATCATACTGATTCTAATTTAAAATTGTACTAATAATCAAGAAGGAAAGGGCTATTCTTCAACTCTCTTACCTTGTGTGGTTGTTGATGGGAGAGATACAGTGGTTGTCATGGTAACCGGCTTTACAACTAAGCTTCCATCATTGATTGGTTCAATCTATAAATACAGAAGAAAATATTAGTAAGTTAAAATGGACGTCGAATTATAATATTCCGTAGCAATTAAGGAAGAAAGATGTTTAGAATTTTTGGAGACAGTATTTTAAATTTTAAAGATGCAATCCTTCAGTTTATAATTTACTTCGTTGGTTGGATTAGATGACTTACCCTATGTCCGGTCTGTACGGAACATTGTTGTTTAGCTACTTCTGGCTTTTCACTTATAACAAGTTGTTCTAATTCACCCTGAAACGGTTAGAACGAAAACCATGAAACTACGTGTATAAAACCAAAGTTACAAACAATTGTTTTAATTATTTATTTTGATAGAGATCATCTGAATTAAAGCTACGGATATTTGCAAAGACACAATGAAATAGCATGTCTAAACTTACCGTGAATGGGTTTCCATATCGAGGAAAATAAGGTCCAACAGATAACATCAAATTACTTCCAAAGCTCGACATTCTACTTCTTTCGAGCCTCTTCTTCAACACGATAACACAGTCTTGATACAGAGTGACGTCATTTCCTGATAAACTAAGCGCCAACTGGTGCCACTGGCCGTCTGTGACGTTGACATCAAAAGTAGGCATGGCGACGCCAAAATAATTGTCGTCTAGATAATCCATTCGAATTTCTTCATCCCCAAAAAATAATCCAACTCTTTGCCTGCCTTGGATATCACTGACAGATAATAAATAACCCTTGAATCCAGGCTGAAGCTTGATGGTTAAAACAATTGCGAAATCACGTGGTAATGTAACGTCATATAAAGTAGCCACTGGCAGGAAGAGTTTAGCACGTGCTGTGATGATGTAAGCTGTAGGTCGTTGTACGTTCTGCGAAACGCCAAGCGGAAGTTTAGGAACACCGAGATTCGAAAGAAGATCCTTTTGATCTGAAATAAATAAATAGAAAATAAAATAATATGCATCATTCTTTCAAACATAACGCTTGCATGTTCACGCCTGTGTCACTTATACAGGCCTAAGGACAAATATTGACCCAAAATGTTCTGAAAGGCAAATTGCACATGATCCAGCTATGTAAAACCAGAAGCCATCCCTTAATTTGGCAAAGACATTGCAGACGATTATGTTATAACATTCTTACCTTGGCAAGAAAACGTATTGCATTCACGGGACTCGAAGGCCTGTCCCTCGCAATCTGTCACGTTCTCGCGTGAACATGTCCTGGTACGTGTTTGATGTCCGGAGTTACATTTAGTTGTACAGGAACTCCAGTCAGACCAATGATACCAACCTGAAAATGACAATAATGGATTCGTATAAAAATCAAGATAATAAGTATATAGAACACTAAAAAGGGAAATAGTTACAGACTGGCAGGGTTTTTTTTTTAAAAAACTAAAATAAAATGTTTCCTATTTTCATAAATGTTTTATAAATTGTGTGGAAGTTGCGCTTGGGTTGTTGCGATTCGGTTTGTTTTTTGTTGTTTTGTTGGGAAGATTTACGTCAAAATTAAATCGTCTTATTTACAAAGATTTTTTTTTCATTTCTGAAATATCGTTTATATGACTCAGTGTGTTGAACAAATTTACAAATCAAAGACAACGTTTGTTCTTGTTTGTGGTTTTGTTGACATGGGTTGTGTTCTTGGTGGTTAATGGTTTAAACATATTTGGTTTTATAAAGAAAACTATAAAATTTACAATGCAATGTTTGTTTGGAAATCATCAAAATTAAATCATAACGTTCATTTTACATTTAAAATGCAGAATCGACCGCTTCATTACTCATGGTACAGATATAAACTAATCAGTATCAAAATGGACGTAGTTGCAATTACATTTCAATCTTTGTCATAAAACAAAAATATATCAGAAACATAAATGAAACAAAGTGGGTAACAGCCACTTTGGAAATTTGTACACCTCCCACGTGTTAAATTAGGACGTTTATTTTTTTAGCCTGGTTGGTGCAGAAAAGTAGGACGTTAAACCCCATTTCATGCATTCGTCAAATCAGGGAGCATACAGCCCTCATGCCCAAGTAAAGACGTTAGCTATATGACGTGCGGTAGATGTCACTAGCAGTACGTGTCGTGTTGTCAATATAAAGACGTTTTAGATCAAGTTACAGACTGGAGGTTAAAGATATTATTTCACGGGGTCGCGAACAAACTTATCTCCTTTCTTAAACATAATGACAACAAGGTGCGAAACCTGCTTATTCAACTAAATTTAAAATGTCGCGTTTTGTTGCGAAAAATGTAGCAGCGTTGATAAACAAAAACATTTCTAATTAACTGATGTATATACTGTTCCGCCAATTTGTCGCCCGCATCAAATTTCTTTCAACTTGATACAACGATTTTTTTTTTAATATTTTCAATTTGAAATCTTCGTGTGTGGGTTTGGGTTGTATTTTGTAACCTAACAAGTAACTATAGCCCTGTTTTGTTGCTCAAACACAAAATCTACAATTGAATCTGGAAAAGGAGATAAGCTGGCGCTGTACACGAGAATTACATATTATTTGGGAAAGAGGTGAGTTTACGTAAGGAAGGGTATCGCCTGAGATAATATTAAAAACACGAAATTATACAAACTGAAACAGATGACAGAAGACGTGAGGAGTTATAGGAAAAATCCAAATTATAGTCACTTTTATATAAAATGATGTTCAGAAAGTATCTGCTCTTGGACCTATGCTGTTTAGCTATTGTGCGAAAAATCTTGTTCATAGCAATAATTAACATTTTTCATTATACATGTCATATCCAATATCGTAGATATTCTTACTGTATTTACACAAGACATTAATTCAAAACACTATCCCACACAAAATAGGATCTTAAAATTAATTGAGATTGCTGAGATTAGTGAATTAATGACTAAGCCACGTCTCACCAATTTAATAAATAATTTGAAGATAAGTAGCATAATGTTCCATCTTAAAATAAGCTCATGCCATGATATCATCACACCTGTGCTCGCCACGTACTTTATGTTTATGTGCGACATTTAAAACTTTGTTGTTGTAACGATAACCGGGATACTAATTTTGTAGATAGCATTGGAAACTTTAATTAAAGAATCGTCTTTTACATACCATTTTATCCAGATAACATTTATGATTACACTGATAAAAACTTTTCACACTTTAAAAAAGAAAAATCCTTAAAGGAAATTTCCTTAACTAAATTTGTTTTATAACCGATGATTTTCGTGATGGAAGAAATTTAAGATGTTGACATGGGGATGTTAAATATCTGTTTTTTCTTTGATTTTCATCCGTGGAAAGTTTATTACCTGCTATAGATTTACTCAACTGACAAAACCCTTAACACAATATAAAGACGACCTTCCCACTAACACATAAACCTTACACAAGTTCACAAGAAATAATCGACTGGACAGACCCTCGGCCAAATTTGTAGAGGAGAAAAATACTTTTGAAAGGTATAAAGAATGTGGATGTGTTTTATTGAACTTAACTTAAGATTGATTCCTTTCTTGCTCTCGGAATTATGCCCTTATTAAATGAACACTGCTAAAAATATATTAACGCGCTTAATCTATTGAAATGAATTGAAATAATTTCAATCTAAATCTGCATGTATCTAGAGAAAGTTCTACTTTCAGTTTTTGATTGAAACCCAAAAAGGTAAAATACTACAATACTATTCCACGTCCATTTTAGTTCGGTTTACATCTCCTTTGGAATATCAGAAGACAAGTGACTTATATTCTAGAAGATGTTTAGATCGATCGATTGGTCGCTATATTGATCTGTTCCACCAATTACCTGACTATTTCCTTACAGAGTTTATGAATATTTAAAGTAATTTCACACTTCAGTACGAACCTTATCATTAACTAGGACACGCTTCCGTTGTTTTCATAGATGACGTTTGTAACTGTTCTATAAAATTAGTGACAGTTTAGTAAATATATGTGTCAGAGTTTCAATGCTTTCCCGTAACATTTAATCTGCTATGCATAGTTTGAATATGTAAATATCTCACTTCTTTTATAAAATAATTTTCATCATCGGCATTTTACCCAAGCCACTCCCGCATTCCGTCAATAAAATTAAGTTTAAAATTAGGTGAAATTTACAATGTAATATGTCAGCCAAGACGAGATTTTCCCTATTAAACACAAAATAATACAGAAATAAACTATTAAATCTATTCACTTGAATGTTTTCACTTAAATACAAATTAGTTACCATAACAACCAACAAATCAACATCTATTTATCCCTAAATTGCTCAATTAAAACTCAAGCAAAATTTAGTTTTCTGAAAAGACACGAAATTAGAAATTAGTCCCCGGGGTGTTAAATACCGTCGGTGAAATGTGAAACCCGATGCCAGATTTTTAACTTGAATGAAACCTTATTAGGCAGACTAGATGCCTTATTTGGTTATAAAGAAAATGGGCGTGGTCGACTTCACGCTCAATAAATGTGGTACAAAGGTAACTTTCTCCTTGCCGACTACCTGGCGACATTTTAATCAGTGAACATGCACATACTGGTGTAAGATGAAAAAAACGCACGTGTCTCGATCACTAGAATTTAGATCTAGTGTGTTTGTTTTCAGTGGGATGCCTTCTCTAAATTTTGAAAGTGATGTTCGTGACGCAAGAGCGACAACCATATCAATATTTATCTAGAATTAAATAATATAAAAGATTTGTTTTCTTTAAATAAATAAAATATTGGATTTCGTTCGTCATCTTCTTTTACATTTAATCCACAGGCTTAAATTTTCTTTTACACCTAAAGCAGAGCGGTCACGCGGAGTTCTGAGAAATAAGACTATTTTTATGATTGAATCGTTGCTGTTCATTCGGAAATTAATATGAGTAATGAATTAGGTGTAAGTGTGTTTTGTTTTTTCACAATAATACCTAGAATGTTTAATATGAGCGCCGCGTTCGCTGCATGTCTAATTCAATTAAAATTTCGTTTCGTTTATTTTTCTAATATTTACACTAATTAATTTGAGTACCAAAAGAATAAACGCCAAAAATAATACGAAACGCATGATACTCAATTTGTTGCCCCCAGGCCATGGCCTACCATACATATGAGATAAGATTCATGTTTCGATGAGTTTCACTTTGTCTGGAGTTTTATATGTAATATGAAACCAGCAGGAGGTGAGAAAATGTGATTTTATCTCGGTAAACCTCTTACAGGTAGACGATATGATCTATCACTACATCACGTCAAACATCTTAATCTCTTTATACGAATCCAAACCCCTTTTATTCTAACCGATTTTCTCCACAAGAACGACTTAAATGTTCTTTAGTTTTAGCTATTAGGTAGATGTTTAGAAATTGGATTTCTTTCCGTTAAATAAGTGTTAAATTTTGAAAAGATGGGTTTTGTTTATATAAATTTTAAACCGCTGTTTTAAATAGGAGAGTAACCAAGAACAATCAGCTCTAAGATTGAATACAGAAACCCATTTGAATGATGTTACGTATAGTCCTGGTAAAAATAAAATTATTAAAATAGTTCATCTATTTGGAATATACCATGATCTTATTTTAAAATTTCCAACAGAATTTTTCGAAAAGAATACCCTATTCTCTAGACTCGTGTAAAATAAATGACATTTAAAACAACAACAACACGAGACAACCCGACTCGTTTCTGGTTGGCTTTCAAATAATTCTCACATCAACTTGTCACTTATTTATAAAATTCCTTTTTTTCGAAAAAACTGATTTTTACAAGCTGTAAAAATACTTGTCAATTTTAACACGCTAACATTTACAATAAAGGCATAATTTTAAGTTCACAAAACAACACAGACATTTAAACAATCTTGTCAATGGGCTGTTCTCATATTCTGACTTTCATCTTGAATTCCATTTCACTATGTGTTGTTCACTATGTGTAATTACCGAATTTATGATTTTCGTGCGAAAGATCCCCCCCCCCCTCCTCAGACACACACACGCTTCTCATTTTAAAATTACTGGTCGTTTGTGTTCTGGAACGAGCCAAAATCCACTTCTTTTTTTTTTGACACAAGCGAGTATTCACAGATCACACTTTCGTCAAAAACTAGTTTGTATCATTTTAGGCTCTAGACCGCGTGCATTCGGGTCAAGTTTTTGAAATTTCTCCTCCCCCTAATCTCTCTATTCTGTCACATGCTTAGTTATAATTGTCCCCGAAACTATAAAAAAATAAGCTTTTATTCCTTTGACAAATTTCTATCCATAAAACTACAGGGTGTCGCCAGTCTGCAGGTTGACTTTACTAAGGCTATAATTAGAGAGTTTTATTTTAAAGGTGAGAGGTCACCGAATACAGAAAAGGCCTGCATGATGGGGATTTTCAAAGACGATAGTCCGACATTAGTTATTGGGCACTGATTCGACCATTATTTCAAACTTTTAATTAAAAATGTGGAATTAATTGTTAGGTAATTAATTTTCTTAATTACAGGTGAGTGCGGGTTGACACGTGGAGTTGTCACCAGGTAAAAAGATAAAGATGTTACTTAGCTTGAGGGATGTGTAAAGATTTTATAGAAACTTAAATATCTGAAGGGGATTTGAAGTAGGTATAGATTAAAACAACAAAACATTTAATACGGGGTTAGATAAATAATATAAGGAGTGAGCCAGTCTGACTTTCGAGTGGTGATTTAAAAAATTGAGATCATTATCAAAAATCAAATGATGTTGGGACTATGATTGATAGAGAGATCTAATCGGTCTCTTTCCTAAAAGAAAATAAACTCTGTTGAATTTTTCTATTTTCAAGAATATAAAAATTACAAATCGCATTGTAAAGCATTACGAAATAAAGTTCAGGCCCCGAATTCACAAAGCATTGTCAGATTTAGGTTAAGAATTTACTCAACTTTCAATCACTGCATGTTTATGAGAAATATATTTGATCCAGAAACACAACACTTTGCACATTGTTTCTTATTGATGTACTTGGTACATTACAACAATAGAAGTTTTATAAAGGGCTATATTTTAGTTAAAATAAGGCGAACAATTATTTTAAGTAAATTCTTAACTTAACTCGGGGCCTGGTTATGATCTTCTGTTGAATTAAATGATGAGAAAGTTGATTACATTAAAATTCTCCCCTTTATTTGTGGGAAACAAATACAAGAATGGGACTAAAAGATCTGTGAGGTAAACAGGAGCTAAATTAGTTAAACATTTAAAAGTAAGTAATAAAATCTTACAATCAATTCGATATTTAACAGGTAACCAGTGTAATTTATATAAAACAGGAGTTATGTGATCCCAGTATTCTGTACTTTTTGTAATTTATCTATAAGGTAAACCAACTAAAACTGAATGAAAGTTATCTAATCGTGAAGTGACCAGAGTGATACCAGACATATTAGTTGGGGCTATATAGAATATATTAATGTGGGTCAATGCTAGAGATGAGGTGGGGATTAGGGTATGAAAGTCAACAAACTACCTTAATCTGTGTTTTATGTCTGATAAATCACATCTCATATCTAGAGGTATAGGTGTAAACTTATATGACGAGATAACAATTTAAACACACAATTCATATAAGTAAAACATAATGAATATTTAACTAACATATACAATAGGCATTACAGATTATTAAAAAGAATTTCGAACATACGCAAATACATGATATTAAAATATACGTTATTTTACAAGAAAGAATTGCATTGAGAATATTATTTCCAAAACTTTTTCTTAAAATATCGATAAGCGCTTGAAAACTACGTTTGAGGTTTTGGGAAATATTTGTGGTTTCTTATAAACTCAAGTTTTGTTTAAAACATTTAGCCGGTTTGCACAACAGATTATTCATCGTCAACTCCATCCTTTCCAAAACAATGATAGCAGTGCTGCAGACAAAACATAAATTCAGGTGACCTATTATGTTGTCTATTTAAAATATATAAAATATATCAAAGGCTCAGTTGGTGACATTTAGAAATAGGATACAAGTTATTGTAAAAACTATGCCCCAGTTCCATAAAACAACTGAATTTTACATTAAACGTTGACACATACAGAATATGTTACAAAGTAAATATGACCCTGTATATATCGAAGAATGTGCACATGTATTATCGTGCATATACAATTACATACATATTATATTTCTTTTGTTTTTATTTTAATACTATATACTGATTCCTAAAATATCAATTGTTATTTCTGTCAGCTTTTAAACCCTAATGGTGTATTCGCGATGTAAATGTATATACCCATGCATGTGCTTTGAATGTAATAAATCGTGATCTCTCTTTTATTATTGTAACAAAAATACTAAATTTTCGGCATTGTTAAATATTCTCATTACTGCAATTGCATAAGGTAGAAATATTAAATTAATATTCTAGAAACTCACCTAAATATTCTAAAACTTGTTGTTCATTGTATGTAGAGAAATCAGAGGCTGCTCCAAAAATATCATCATATTTTGCCGACATTCGACCATTATAAATTGTAAGGAATAAAATGTATTTTGCACCCTCTGTCAGATCGGCATAGCACATGGTCTTATCTCCAAAATTACTAACGTTATAAACTTTATATTCACTGGTCGAAATATTCCTCATTAATTCATCACCCTTATATACATTCAGTACTTTAACTTCGGCTGTATACGTCCCAGCTTCTGTACGATCTGTCTTAAACGCTCGTAAGACATTAGCTCCGACAACGACATCGGCCATTTCTGTGCGTTCGTATATAGAAAGTGGATCCCAGCCGTTCAATAATAAAATGCAAGACTTTGTTATATAAATAAATTGCATGCAAATAATAAGTTGTAAGAGCATTCGTATATGTGCTGCCATATTCAGTTTTTAAAAGTGAAATTGCTCTTTAAAACATACGAGTTTCTTTTGTTAAAATGTCTATAGCACTTAAAATCACGAGAGCATACTTCTCTCCAGCAAAACAAAAACAAACTTAACGCCAAAATAAAATCCGAATTCAAAATATCCAGCTGTTCTCCCTTCTTGTGAAATTGTGTTGTTGAAATTAGCCGAGTATGAAAAATAAAATGACTTGCTTGAACACAATTCGGTCGACAAACTAACTACAAAAAACTCCTAGGCCACTTGTCGTTTATAAAGAGCACGTAGTAATCTGCTCTGTGATTGGTCCATCGGAACAATAATAGAGGGTTATGATAATTATTATAATTATGAGCGCAGGCAGACGGACAGAATGACGTCATTGATAGCAGCAGACGAAGACTGACGGATGGATTACTCCAGCATTGTGACCTGCAGCCGGAGTTAAATAGCTTAAAAGGATCAATTAGGTATATGAGGACCGCTTTCGCCACTTTAAAAGGATTTGTGTAAAATATAAAGTAAATATTTATAAACTTGTAGACGCTTATGTTGCGCGTGAGAAGTGTCGTCTACTGCAAAATCCTAATGAAGTTATGAAAATTGTTATTTAATTGATTTAATAATCGGCTTTTTGTTTAGTCTAATTAAATTGGGTTTCTGGAAAACAATTTGTTTTCACGTGCGTCTGTAGCAAAGTGAAATTTGCATATTAGCCTTACAAGTAAAATGTAAGCAATATTAAAGTTTAATCCCGCAATCAATAAAGAACATTTCAGTGCACCATGAGTGATTAATAAATATTTTTCAATTGATCGCTTTTTCATATGTGGCTTATTAGAGTCTACTCTCGTTTGGTTTTCTGCCTTACAGCAAGAGTTGTAAATTCCAGAGTTCATCACAAAACTGATAATGCTACTTCAAAATGCATTTCATCATTATAGTTCACAGTTTTTGATTTCTTCGTCCACTATATTTAGCAAGTTGGTAGGGATGCAGAGTGGTTCGGTTCTTAGGGGTGGTAAGGGTGTATATATTAATATGCATGTCAAAACACAATAGATGGTACCCCCCCCCCCCTTCCCGGTCATTAAAAAGTGCCTGTTACCTGTATAGACTGATTATTGACTAGCAAGATATAATTAGAAAACAAATTGTTTTCCACGATTTGAGAATTAAAATGACAGATTAGATCAAAAAGCCGCCATTTTAATTTTAATTTCCCGACAAATCTCTACCCAATTGCCTTAATAATAATGGCAAATAATCTCCACTCATATGTGATTGCCGTGGACGGATTGTCGGAGTGGTCAAGACGAAAGGTGGGCCAGACGGACTTAGAGTAATTTCCCACAGACAGATTACTCTAGAATAGCGATCAGTAACTGCAGTTAAAAGATTAACAGGGTCAATTAAGGAAGTGGGATCTGTTTTCGTCCGTTAATGGGATTATGTCCCGACCTCTCTGTATTCCAGATTAGACAATCAGTCCCACTTGGCAGAAATCAACATCACTTCATTGAAACTTTACTTTTATTTATTTACTTATTGGTCCATTTATTGACATTTATAGCCCAGACGACATTGTTATATATTTTTTATTGTTTCCTCTCGTTGCATTTAAAGTAAATATTTATAAATTTGGTAGATGCCATTGTTGCACGTGGGAAGTGTCGTCTGCAATGTCGTAAGATAATAGAATTGTTATAATCATAGGTTAATTGGGGTGGGATAAGGGGGTTGGTGTTGCAGTGATTTTACTCAATTATTTTGTTCTAATGAGTTTGGAACATCTTATAATCTAATATTTTTAACTTAACATGCGAGTGGTAAGAGAGAAATGGGAACTCATTTTAATTATGGCATATTAATTTATATATGAATAGATTGTTTAAAACTATGTACTTTTATCACTCTAGAGGATGTTATCAGTCCTTGAAAACAAATATATTTTATTGAAATGTAGTTTAATTTTGAATATCAAAGTATCATAATTAGGTCTGAGAAATATCTGTCAACTAGAAAAGAAGGGAAGCTCCACACACAGACCAAAATGACGGACATTAAAATTTTACTTGTGTGTTCAGTGCATCTATTCGTAGGGTTTTTTTTGGGGGGAGGGGTGGTCCGGGGATGGGGGGGGGATAAATTACAGTATAATCTATTCGTTTATAAATGTGTTTCTATGAAACATGTAAATTTGAGCTTTTTATTGGTTGGAGTTACGTAGCTAATGAAATTGTTATATTCAGGTTCAGTTTTGCGCCAGAAAATAACCATCGACATCCCGATTTTTCACAATTTTATCTCAGTTTATACCCACCTCCCCGCTACCCCGCTCCCTATAGCCAAATTTCATTCGTCCGCCTCGGGGATCGACGTTATCAGTTTTAATATATATGTACTTTTTCACAGCAAATAATGACTGTTAATACATATTTTTTTTCTCTGATTTATGATTGATGAGACGAGGATGAATTGCAGTACAAAACAAACTGCACGACAATTCGGATTACTCTTTATTAGGGATCAGAGAAGTATCGTCTGAGTTTTTTCCAGATCAACCAATCAACAGCGTGATGTCATCGAGATCTTTTAATTATTTAATTCTATTTACTTAATAGTCGTATTATTGACATTTATAACTCCACATTTATTGTTGTTAACTTTGTTTATGAAGTCAATATTTTATAATCTCGCAGACGGTGTGAAATGTCTGCAATATAGTCGGGAGCTAATTGACTTTATCAATTGCTTTTGTCATATTATTTCTCAAAATAGGCCATATCTTAATGGATACAGCCGTGGCAAAAATCTTAAAATTAGACTTATTAATTAGTTGATTACTGGGGTTCCCACAATATTACCCAATATCCAATGTTTATGCTTACATTAAATCTTTAGTTTCTGACATCGTTAGAAAGTCAAAATTTTCTGAAAGACTTAATGAGGGCATTAAGAACTGTATATCTTAAATTCGAGGATTTTGGATTGGTAGAACAGAACCGTATTTATTTTCATTTTATCTCCAAGGGGCCACGGAGTAAGACACGAATCGTAAAAATCTAAACGGCTGTGCTCGAATGGAAGACATCCACAAAAAAAACAAAAAAAAAAATCTCCCCAAAATCATTATTGTTACGGTCATAATTACGACTCGCCGTGCTTTTGTAAACAGGCACTTTTAGATATTTTTCATTCATGATGTTTCGAGTCTTAATATTGTCCACTATAAGCGAATAATAAATTAATAATGAAATATATTCGCCAGCTTGTTTATTATCATCGTTTAAATTAAACAGCGGGGAATCAGATTTATAAAAATTCCTTCAACTCATTGCCCCGAATCTTGATGAAAATATTTTACAGTTCGATAAATATTCAACCACTCGCTTATGTTTTAATAATCTAATACATATTTTGAAATGAAAAGATTTAAAGGGGAAGGGGCAGTTTAAAAAAAATCGATAACCTCCATTTTGAAAACTAATTTAAAATAAGATTAATAAATAAAATAAATAAAATGGTTAATACACATTTTGAAAAATCGAATTTAAAGGGAAAACAAGCGCTTTCAAAAATATCGATTTTGATAACTACAATTTAAAATAAGATTCCAGAAATTTAATCAATAACAAATATCCACATAGTTTATTTATTTTACTTAATTTGATTTTAATATATTTTTAAAAACTATGATCTAAGTTTGAAGAGTTGAAATTTATAAAGGTTGAAATTCATAAACTTGACAAAAGAATGACTGACTATAAGTGTAGAAGCAGTTAAAGGTCAATTGATTCCCACATGATGAGATAAAAGGTTACCAGTTCAAAGACAATCGAGATACACTCTGCTATGTCAAGTTACCATACCATTTTGGACTCTTAATTCGACTTAAGATATGAATTCACTCACTCGGTTTTCGCTAGTTTGTGGTTTTATCACATCAACAAAAGGTAATGTTAAGAATAATGCATAATATATTATATACTTAAGTTGATGTGCAACAGCTTTAAAATAACAAATTCCGCTTTGTTCGGCGTTTGCGAGGGTTATATATGAACATGGAAGTGGGTGTCGGGGAGGGTGTGTACAGAAGCAGGTACTTTAGCTGTAAAAATGACTTGAATAGAGGAAACTTGTCCATTCCTATATCGCAATCCTACAGACAATTTGGAAAGACCCGCTATGACAAAACTGAGAAAAAGTCGGTATGCGTCATTTATTACCCCCCCCCACACACACACACGCCTAATTTGAATTAAGAAATAATGCATTTTCGATCTGGACAGTCGGAAAGTCCGAAAAGTGCTTAAAACTCCCTTTGATCCAAATTCACTTCTGCAATCCTTTGGCAACCGTCAGTCGCCCATGGATTAAGATTTATAAAAACGTCTGGACCCTTTTTAATCTCGAATTAATTAAGATGTTACACAAAGAAAGTCAATTAATTATAATATATTTAATATCCCCTTAAATATATAGTAACAGTTCTGTCTGTATCTACAGTCATGAGTATCAATTAACAATTAATTAAAATATTTGGACAGATTATTAAATATCCTTAAATAATTAGGTAGTTAATTTTCATACAAACGGGGCATTTAATTTTCTTCTGACATAATAATTCTAGCTAGGACATGGAGGTTCGTTTCAAATCAAAATATAGTTTTCAAATTAAAACCATTTCATTTTTAATGGGACAAATCTGATTTATTGAAATGATAGCAATTTATTGTTTGATTTTTTTTAAATAGACAAATGATTCGATAATGGTATGGAACTCAAGCAAGGCTTATTTTTATATCAATCATTTCATCAAAATAACTGGCCTGATACATGTCGTACATACTTATACATAAATTTACTGGTGTCGGTACGCTGGTATTTAACCGAAAATAACATCTTTGGAAAAAGGGATGTCGAAGTAAAAAGAAAATATTGACGGAAACAGGGTGGTATATCTCCGATCGAATCCAAGTTTCGTTGGATTTGTGCCACCGTTTGCATTGTATATATAGGGAGTGGGAGTAAAGTTTGGTATATCACTTGAAGATATTAATTAAAGTCGTTAATCCACAGACCATCAATTACAACATCCTGATGTATTATCTGTACGAAATGTAAATATATCATTATAAATACCTTTATGATAAGGCCTATGGACGTTTAATTATTTTTATTACAAGGCCAGCCAAAATATTAACTTGTTTTTTTTATGCATGCACAAGTAATAAAGAAACAATATCAAGACGTCAATTGAAAAATTATAGATGTCAACTCTTAAATCCATTATCTACATAACTTGTGATAATTTTCCCAAAGAGATATTCGTCTATAGCCCAAAATATAACCATAAAAAATGAGTTATACAATACATACTGCCACAACGAAAATTTGAGGGATGTTAGATTCTGTGTTATATAATCTTTAAAGAGTTAGAAATTGTGGTCCTTCATTCAATACCAGAGATAAACAATAATTGTTAGCCATGCGGCATTCCCGAATATACATGATATGTCGTATTAGGGATTATAGAAATAGTAAGCGCATAATTTTGTCTTGATTTCAGTTACATTCTTTTGTGATTTTTTTGCAATACTCTTCTACATAATTGATTTAACTTATTGGAGAAGATAACCGCAATCGAAACACAGAGGGCAGTGTTGTATATAGGTGATAGAATTTGTTAAAAAAATCCCAAATATAATTTTAACATTTATAGAGATCTTTGCCATGGATTCAAATAACAACTCTCTTTCCGTTTGTAGAGAGTAACTGCATTCCATATTTTTTTGGTCACTTTCCAATTCTTCAAATCTTTTATACGGATCAGAAGTGTAGCAAAGATCCCTATGTTTAAATTATATGTGGAATATGTTTAACCAATTCTATCCAGTATGTAAAATTTGGGAAAACCAACATTGTCTTTTAACCGTGATTTGTTGTATATACCTTTGGTTAGGGTAGATAATGAGATGAATCGCTAATAATTTGATTTTCGAAACAGAGCCGCAAGTCTGTGAATTTGTGGATCAGCCCGTCTATAGTATGTTTAGATATAGGGCTAATGGTCAGATCTCCAGACGATATTCTGTTCACGATCTTTATCATGGAATACAAGTATAAAATATACCCTATTTGTACACATAATGCTTGTTATCAGTGGGTGAAAATTCTGACTGTGTGTGTATGGAGACAAATTGACAATTTTGTGGGACAAGGAAGAAGTTCCCAGGGCAAACCATTGGTAAATTCATTTGTTTGTGGCCTAAGATAGAAATGTCAACCGTAGCGTAGAATGAAGAAGATATTTTACCAGACAATGAAAATATATAACTACCTGTTGTAGGTAAAAGGTGAGAATAATTTATTATAAAATAAATCAGGCGGGGAAGATTATATTTATCCACAGAAGTGAGAAAAGTATTAACGTTATTTTTATAAATAATCGAGGCGGAGAGAAGGCGACATTCCGGGGGTTTGCGATACGGTATCGGCTAACATGAAAGAAGAGTACCCGCTGTGTGACGTTTTATAAAGATACAATGTTCATATTTCCCTGTATTTTATATATAGCATATAACAGGTAAAGAAATGCCCCTGGTATTGAATTGTCATAACAGTGCCACAGTCTCAAATATTTATTTGAATTTTTTTTTCTTTCTTTCGGTATTCTCAATTTCATCGTTGGTTCAGTACAAGATCATCATCTATCTATGTATATATTTGTGACTGTCGTTTGTCTGTCTGTCTGTCTGTCTGTTCGGGGTTGGCGGCTACACTAGGTCTGCACCGAGTCTGAAATTTGGGGTATAGGGGAAGCTCGGACCAGGGAGTAACATAGGTCAGGTGGCGTTAGTCTACCACTTCCGGTTTCGGAGTTATGACCCCCGAGCGAAGTCTGTCTGTTCGGGGTTGGCGGCTACATCTGCCCCGAGTCTGAAATTTGGGGTATAGGGGTAGCTCGGACCGGGGAGTAACATAGGCCAGGTGGCGTTAGACTACCACTTCCGGTTTCGGAGTTATGACCCCCCGAGCGAAGCCGGTCTGTTCGGGGTTGGCGGCTACACTAGGTCTGCCCCGAGTCTGAAATTTGGGGTATAGGGGAAGCTCGGACCGGGGAGTAACATAGGAGAGGTGGCGTTTGAATACCACTTCCGGTTTCGGAGATATGGCCCCCGAGCGAAGTCTGTCTGTTCGGGGTTGGCGGCTACACTAGGTCTGTTCGGGGTTGGCGGCTACACTAGGTCTGACCGAGTCTGAAATTTGAGGTATAGGGGTAGCTCGGACCGGGCAGTAACATAGGCCAGGTGGCGTTAGTCTACCACTTCCGGTTTCGGAGTTATGACCCCCGAGCGAAGCCGGGTATCCTGACAGTAACACTTAATTATAGCATTATCGCTTTGCTCTAATCATCATTATCATCTTCGTTGTTTATATCACATTCGGCGACATATTTTGATACCCAGTGATCAGCGGAACCACTGACGACATTGTGATGGTGTTTATCCAATGTTTACGTTGGCATCCACGTAAAAGAACCCTTGTCAGTTGGAATTCGATGAAGAGTAGGCGGAAATTTTTATTGCATATGTCATGCTTGTCTTCGTTAGTAGAAATGTTGGACGTTTAAACCTATTTCATTTCATTTCATTTATTACTGTATTGGTGTGCACAATTAACAGCAAACCTATGACGTGGTTGCTATATGCTCGATTCAACCGTACTGGTAAATTTCATAATACAGGGGGCAAAGGCGTTTCTTTTGTCGTTAGATAGGTATAAGGTATAGAATATACTTATTACACTACCCACTGGGGTACCTACTTATACTAGACACAAGATGACTGATACGGCGAGAAAATTAATTTACTTGACAACTTGGGTAACTTTAGCAATAGGTGAAACGTGTCACGTTATTTTAAAGGGAAAAGTTAAGGATTAAGGTTGTTATAATTTGTCATAATCAATATAAATTTTGTGGCATTTCATTATTTTGCAGCCACAGGGCGATTTACATATCTAAGCATTTTTATACGAGGGCTGACTGAAAAGTTCTAAACCTGAAAAGGATCGATCAATTTGGATGAAACAAACTTTTGCAACCAATATAAACAATCATTATTGTCTTCGTACCAGACTATCAATCATGTGAACTTATAGGGCAGTCATCAAGTACCTTCAACTGAAAGGACTAACCCCAACGCAGATACATGATCTCCACTCTAGGGGATGGCGCCCTTTGCTTTTCCACAGTAAAGAAGTGGGTTACGGAATTTAAGCATGGCAAAGCGAGTCTTGCCGATGACCCAAGTCCTGGAAGGCCATCAACAGCAACCATTCAAGAAAACATTACCCGGGTGCATGACATGGTGATGGCTGATCGACGATTGGCAACTCAACATATTGCCAGTGTTGTGGGCATCTCTCATGAGCTAGATGAGCACATTATCGCGAACAAGTTTGGAATGACAAAAGTTTCTACAAGATGGGTGCCAAAGCCCTTGACTGCAGATCAGTAACGTGCCAGATTCCTGACGTCCCGTGACAATCTGCGTTTTTGAAGCAGATCCTGATAATTTTTTGACCACATTTGGCCCCGTCAGACGTTCACCTGTTCCCAAAAATGAAAAAGGAACTAGCCGGTCGTCATATCAGCTGTGAACCGACTTTTTCGAAGTGAATACGTAAAAAAATAAATGGATACCATTTCTACCGGTCTTTCACAGATAGGTATAGGTATTATGCCGTCACCCCTGTCCGTTCACATTTATTTGTAGACAAACTCTATCGATATTCAGAAACTTCCGTTCCGGAGTTGTCCTCCCTATTCCGAAAACCTTGTGAACTTGATAAAGGCGATTGACTTTTTCTATTCCCGTCTATTTGTTGGAAAATGTGAATATGCACGTATCTTGCTTGGCAACCACTTCCTGTTCTTTTAAATGACCAGGATCCAATTAAGTTGAGGTTAATTATAAACAGAAATCCATAATATGTCTGTTTTGGCAGGAATCTCTAATTATTGTTCGTGTCATTTTTGAAGATCCCATTACACTATTATTTCTGAAACCCCTTTTACTAACCCTAGTATAATTTCAATGTCTCCTTAAATGTCATCTTTAACCCTTGACCAACTCCAACGAGTTTGTGGGTTTGGAAAACCAACTAGCAAAATCATTTATATTATCACAAGTTGGAGACCCTGCCATAGCCCTGAATGAGCCAAATATTTGGTTAAAATTTATATCATGGAATTCATCAAATAAGGTCGTTATGACCAATCTATGGCTATATTTTGAGTAAAACTTATTGCAATTTTGACATATTTTTGGTCCGTTTAAACCATAAGCCATATAGTCAAGTTAGATCTTTTTTGATGTGTCCGATTAAATTAAAGTCTTATAAATTATCAACCGTGATATTTAGATTTCAATTAAATGTTACATAATCATTTGTGTATATTTTAGTGTAGATTAAGCAAGGAAAAATGAGTTATTGTGTGAAAAATGCAAACTACCCGATCAGCTGCTTCAACTAGTGAAGATTTTGTTATTATCTGAAATTTTCTCTGACAATGTTTGAAGAGTAAGACGGTAGTGTGCACTAGAGGTTTGATACAAGAGTGTAGGGACTATGGGTAAATTTTGCACAAAATTGAAGTTTTTAACTGGTTTGCTATCAATTGTTGCTCTGTTGCACACAGATGCTCTGTACCCATATAATTATCACAAACTCCATATTTTTCATTAAATGGTAATTTTTATTAGTTGATATAACATGCCGCCATTTATAACACTACATTAATATGTTGAATATACAATTATTCATAGCCACGTTACCATATAGCTATCACTCCCAATATCATCACTGACTTCAATCATCATCACTGTCAATTCAATATCACTGCCTAAAAGCATATTATGAGAGGTTCTTTAAACAACATAATATAGTTCTTGATGTGATCAGCCCAACCTTTAATAACACTGTCATTTTATGCTACTTCTTGTCATACAATGCCACTAAAGCAATCACATACTTCACATGAAACTCGAATTTACAAAGAGACTACAGTAAAGCAAGAATTATCTCCCTTCTCGATATCTAAATCCAGACTGATAAAAAGAGATTACAAATATTTTCAAAGTTTTTATTGAATTTGCGCCAATTATTAGCATTAAAAAAAGGGACATAATTCTTGTTTTCAATACTCCCTAATTGAATAAATCTATTTATAAAGCTAGTTGATAGCTTTGAGGCCATAAAAAAAAAAAGCCAAACATATATTTTAAAATGATCAAATTATTGAAATATGACACAAACGTGGATGTTAACATAGATATTAATGTTCAATGAGTAAATTAATGATATCTTGGAATATATGATTTTATTCCAAAAGCAATATTGAAAGAACATTCATATTTTTGGTTTAACTTTTGACTAAATATTTTTTGACATTTCTCCTACAAATACCATCATAATCTATATAATTTCAAGCTAAAAATATTTAATTTTACAAACATTTGATGAACATACATATTGTATAATGAGTAACAAATAAATGATGATTTTTAAATAAGGCTTTCACAAATCACAATGTCGAATATCTTAAACAATTTGTCATTCTCACAAATTTCTATTCAATATAGGAGTAGATGAACAAGCTAAAGTCATTTAGTTGATTTGAATATGGATGATGATCGACTTATGAATTCATAATTTATATCAGGGTTTCTGTTTGATAATTGTACTTCAAATTAAAATGAAATTAGAGATATTTTACAGGTCAACAACTGAATTCCACCCACCTAGAGAAATGAAGTACCATCAAGACAATTTTAATTGTAACAGAAACCCCAATAGTTCTGCTCTATAAATAAATCTCTGTATAAAATAATTGGGACAATGAGACAAATAAATCTAAAACAGATTAACTAAGTTTATTCTACTAGTTTTGTTTCATTTCTACAAGACAAGCTAAAGATAATATATTCAGTATTTGTGGTGACAACCAGTCGAATTTATAAATTAAAACAAAAAAATATGTTCACCATCTAATCAACACGTTGTTTGAATAAATATTTTATTGAGTTAAACAGTACAAAAGTTTATAATGAAAATTTCTTCACTATTAATTTTCTAATATTGTACTAAACATCAATCTGGTTAAAACATAGATCCTATTTCGTTTCGTTTTTATAGTTCAAAATTTCTTTTTACTTGTCTTTACTACACTAGGATCTGTAAGAGTTGTTATTTAACTCGTGTTCTGAATGGTGTCGGGATAAGCCAATGAAATGATCTGTTACGGCAAGCTTTAGACAAGCTTTAGACGTGCGATCACTAATTTTATCAAGGATTGATTATTGTAATAGTTTACTCTATGGAATCCCACAAGCACTTCTAGCCAAGATCCAAAAGGTTCTTAATACTGCAGCCCGAATAGTAACAAGGACACATAAGTTTGATCACATCCAGAATGTGCTGGCTTCTTTACACTGGTTACCTGCTGAGGCGCGAGTCAAATACAAAATACTAACATTAGTGTATAAATGTTGCAATAATGCAGCTCCTCAATACTTATCTGAACTCTTATATGACTACAACCCTATTAGATCACTTCGCTCTCAAAATAAACAGTCACTAGTTGTTCCAAGATATAATTTAAAGTCGTATGGGTATAGGTCTTTCAGTTCAGCTGGTCCTGGATTATGGAACGAACTTCCACAAAAGATCAAGAATCAACAAACTTTTAATCAATTTAAATCCGCACTAAAGACTTTCCTGTTTCAACAGTTTTACCAGTAGAGCCATTACAAAAAGCGTTTTGAGCATGTGTCAACATGGAGAAGACGCTATATAAAACTTCATTATTATTATTATTATTATTATTTTGCATGGAACTGTCGGTAATCTACTAGTTACATCAATGCTGATTGATTAATCATATGTCTGCCGTTATAAGGTCAAAAATCGATCGTTTGACCCCTGATGTGACCTATCGCTATAACTTGTCAGATATTCATGTATTGTAGGCCATCGAAAGTATATAAAAACGAAACGAAATATAGATCTGTATTTTAATCAGATTGTACTAAACATATTCGCTATCTAAATTAGAACTAAACTTCAGGAACTAATAACTTCCCTTCGTGGTTCAAAAAATAAAATAGGAAACTCTTCTTCCCTAATACAAGTATATAATTCAATGCTACATTAAGAGTTTACTTATTTGCAACTATGAATGTCCCTGTAAGGATCACATGGAGATCATTCGTCATAAAGGTGGCAAATGTGAGTGGAGATCGCTAGCTATGGAAATGACCATATGGCGTATAATGAATAATAATGGCTACATGTGAATATCATGTTATGAATGCAAACCCATTGATACAAAGTACAACAATAAATGACGACTGAATGAAAGGATAACCAAGGCGACAAACATTACCATCCTTTCCGTTAACTACAATATTTAAAATATATACAAAATTATATACATTTTATTTGATTTTAGTGAGGAATATATTTGGTATTCCGACTTTTTTTTTTAATCGTTATCCAATAATTATAACATATTCACCTCAATTTAAAACATTATACCACAAAAATAACTTATTAAAGCGATCACTAAACGTTCCATATCATTCACAAAATATTACCATTATAAAACTTATATAAGTTATCTTTTGCGGAAAAGTGTATTAAATTGTTTCGTATATAATTTAACAACTAGTTTAATTATGCTTAAATATTATTAACATATATATATATTTATAAATGTACGCATGCAAAATGTAAATGCATGCGTTTGTGTAATCCATTCACACTATCATGTAGACGGGAACAACAACAGAGATTTTATATCAGTACACAGTCTACAGTTAGAGAAATGCAACACTGGATAATCTCATCTCTAACACCACATGATTTAAAAACATCCACGGACAACAACAAATATTATTTTTAACCATTCCACCATTTCACTTACTAACAAATTTGATCCAATTATTATGATATATAATATATTAATAACGTTACTAGCGTAAATGACAATATTTTAAAATCGTACTTTGAATAATATAATTTTTGTAATATCAAGCCTGATCTTCATGTCAACTCTAAAAAAAACAAACTCTTGCACATATAGCACAAAGCAAAATCCATTAAAGATACACATTATATGGTTTCTAATATCCAGTCTTTTATAGAAATCTAGCTCCACGCTTGTAAAAATATTAACTTGTAGCGTGCTCATAGTATTTTACATCACAGCACTTAATGATAAAACAATGGTGTTTATTCTCATGTGTCACTGAAGTTGGGTGAAGCAAGACTTCTGGCGCCATCTTTTGTAGACTGGTTCCTTTTAATATAGAGATTCAATAATTTCATCTGAAAGAGAAATGGATCAAAGTTTGGTTTAGATTTATGGTCAGTTTTTCTTATGTTTTGAACTAAAATTTCTTGTAAAGGGCATTACGAGAGTAAAACTGTCCAGACTGACCACTGGTACTTACTGTTGAAACATTCTAAACATACATAAAGCAATAACCGCATCTTGTCCCTAGCTATACACAAGTGCATATGTCATAATGGACCTGGTTCCCAGTGTTCTAGTGGTACATTCTCACTACAATGTGTTTAGAATATAAAGATGATATTCTTACCTTACTACTAGAGAGAGAGATTAAATGTGGGCGTAATTCTTCCCCTACACTATTATAGGTAGCTACCAACGCAAACACAGCAGCTTTTCTTACGTGACTGTCAGCATCTTCACAGGCCTAGAAATAAAATCATTTTATCAACTAAAATACCACATTCACATAAATTCAATAGAGCTTTATCACCCAATAATACATTCTACAGTAGATACTGCTTGTGTAATAAATTTCATAATCTACTGTGATATCTCCTTAGGAGATATCGCTTTACATGAATTTGATTGGTCAATCAAAAAGGAACTACTTTTTTTTATTTTCAAAGAACAGTTCATTTTTTATTAAAAAATAACTTTTTTCTTATTAAAAAGGAACTATTTTTATTTAATTGACTTTCATGGAAACTTTGGGTCAAAAGGACTTTGCAATGGTTGAATTGCTGTCAAAAAATGATGTATCACTGCGCTGTAATGTAATCAGGTTCAGTAAAAGTGAAATCTATAGCAAAGAATTATAGTTATTTATTTGTGCATCCAAGAAAGGATTGAGTGATAAATAAAATCTCCTATGCGTCTTTTTTGATAGGGTTTAAATAAAACAGTAAAGAGTTCTTACCTTGAGTAAACCAGGAACTAAAGAACTCAGTGTTTCTAATAAAATAGCATTATCTAATAATTCAATCACCTGAAAAATATACATATGTAGCATATAGTAACCAATATATTAACACATGAATAATCTTTCACAATTTTTGGCTGCTGTGGGATCTTCTATTGGAACTTCATTATAAAGTTAGATGAGTATGGTATGTATTTCAGCTTAAAGTGAGGGTCAACCCATGTACATACAAGTAATATTTATGATTCAGCTAGGAGTTTGTTTAATCCCAAAGACACCAAGCTAATAGCAAATGTCCCAAGAATAACTGAGATATATTTCCTTACCTTAGCTTGCATTTTAATTGCAGCCATATTAACTGGAAATTTAGCCGATTCTATAATTGATATTAATATTTTCATAGTCTGTTTAGTAGCCATTGATTTAGCTAGTGTATTGGAACATTCTTCTGATGCTTTTACAACCTACAAAAAAAGTTCAAACAATTAATATACATACATAGGAATCATTCTGGAAAAGTTTATCTTTACAATATAGATATTTATATATTATTTAATATCATTTGAAAGACTAGATACTTTTCATTGTCACTACTGACTAGAGGAAACCAGACTGGAAAATCAAGAGGAACTATCTCGGTTAATACCAGGATTGAACATGGGTTAAGGGTAAGTGAGCCAGTGCCATCATCACTCTCATACATCGATATGGCTATATGAAATAATACTTACTTCTTTAGCACTATCTTTGTGAGCCTCTAGAATACGGAATATTGTTAACTCCGCATATTCTTCAAATCTATGGGACTCTTTCTGTAATATTTCCTTTAAAACTCGTAACGAAAATGCTCTGATCATTGCCTGCAATAAAAAGAAATAATGCATAACTGAAGGTACCAGGGTATTGTCCTTTATTTTCCAGTGTTATAAACTGATTAAAGTAGCTAAGTCTCTAAATCAATATCATCCAAAGTCTTTGACATTGAAAACACAAATTATTTGTTAATTTAAATCAACACTAATGTTGTGATCTTACCGGGAAAAGATATTTAAGACAAAATAAACATTTTACCAATACCATTGACACACGAATCGCGCACCATAATGCTTTTCAGCGCCATTTGTAACAAGAGCCTCGACGAACGAGGCTGGACATATTCCACCAATCATGTGAAACAGTGACGCCGTATTCTTATCTGGAGAGCATGCGCAATAAACACTATCAATGTAGATTGGAAAAACCAGACGCTAGAGATTGCCATTCCATTGAGCCTTCTGGCATATTTCGCCGAAAATAACTGATTTGAGTAAAAACGGAAACGACTGAATGTAAATCAGTTTATATACATTCATATTATACTATTATATGCAGTGCGACCCATTTGTATCAATTTCTAGGTCCCAACAAAGGAAGTTCATCTTAGAACTTACATATAGTTCATTGCTTAGCAATTCATTCCAACTAACTTTTTCTCGATAACTTTTTACGATAAGATTTATTATATACTTACATCATCATCTCCGAGTGTTTCTAGTAGAATAAGTAAAATATTTTTAAAATGTTCGTCCCAATGTTTAAAATCACCTTTCCGTGTTAACTGGGTTAAAGAGTACATAGCATTCTTTCTCTCATCATTTCTGAAAAAATAAATTTAAATAAATATTCAACCCGTCACTCATTATTTCTTTGAAATGTTGGGTTCATGTAAAGTAGAGCAAAGGCCAGAAAACTATTTAAAAAACTTGCTATTTGACTGAGCAGGGATAAATATAATATAAGTCTATTCTAAGTGGTTGGCACTGTGATTAGAACTGAAATGGTCATAATGTGGGCGTTCTGGTTGGGAATTCTTAACATTTCATGTAATGTGATATTTGAATATCTGCGGTACACACTAATACAAACTTTCTTAAGTTCGATAAATCCAAAACTACACTGTCTTAACAAGATAAAGATGTACTTCGACATGTTCTTCATGAAGTAGACTGCTAACTCAAAAATAATGGGAGAAATTAGTGCTGTAAGCTGAACACAAGACAAGATAGACTACACTCTGATATAGCCACAATAGAAGAAGGGTCATGAAATACTCACCTAGTATTATGGTTAGATAACTCTGTTAGTATTTCTATAATTAACTCCCCTTGATTAGCAGGTAAACCTGAAAATATACATCATAACATCTAAATCTATATATCTTAATAGAGAGTAATAATAAGAGTTGAGACCCATCACCAGACGTAGAATTACTTTGTATAATGTTTGAAGAATTGATGGTATGATAAGATTGGTTATGGATGAAAACTTTGATCTGTGATTTTTTTTGAAAATTTAATGATTTAGGAATAAGATGTTGTTATTATTATTAAATGATCTAATGGAATTCTATCATCTAATGTTTGTACTAATAAATATAATCACTAAAATAAGAATGTATGTATCTAGATAGGTGTTAGAATATTCAGCAAACAGGAGGTTGAGAATCTAATCATTGCACTACTACCTTGATAGATAGTGATGGCCAGGTAAAAGAATTTTACCTTTTGATACGTGATTTAGTATAATTAAACAGTAGTTAATAGGAAAACAATTTTTACATAATTAGTAGACTACAATTATCACTGAGGTTAGATTGTTACTGGTGGGTGGGACATCAATGTTATACACTGGAGTGTTGCAATAAGTAAGGGAAGTGTCTACATATTAATTCAATTAACAGTGTTATACTTTCAGGGAAATCAAAGCCTTTGATTACAAAAACAAGGATTTCAATAAAGTACATATTATGCAGTTCATAGTCCCTTAACATCAGCCTAATATTGAAGCCCTAGTCAATTTAAATATAAACAGACACAACCAATTGTCTTAAATTTGTAGAACCTTTGTTTGAATACAGAAGCATTTCGTGGACTTTTTAACCAAGTCATAAAAACTAACTAATTTTCAACAGAAGTGCTCAAATTTAAAACATTCAGCTCCTTATTGAAAGCTGCATATTAAATATATTAGTGTAACATGCTAGATAAGATATTATTCTAGGGGACATGAGAATATCTGAATTGAATAGTCTCTGTCATGCTTAATGATAATTATGAACACTTTAGCTTTTGTTGAAAGCTGCATCAGATGAATGGACACAAAATTTATGAAAACACAAATGCTTTGCTTTTTTTTAAAAACTAATTTCATTCATATCATAGATTGCCAAATTCAAGGTTATTCAATTATCTTGTTCTCCAGTCTGTAGAAAAAGCCAGTCTTTCTATAGATGATAACTGCTAATAATGAATCATTAATATTGACATTCCACAATGAAACTTCAACAGGAGGTCAATAAATTTATGAGACACTCTTTCTCATGACTAAAATAAGCTGATAACATATTAACAACACCTGTATACTGGCAAATTCTCAATAACAGAATTTACAATGATTTTCTGAAAATTGAAAATTTGTGCTTTTTTTTTTTTTAACAAAAACAATATTTTGGTGTCACTCGTGTTAAAAAGTGAAGATATTCAGTGGAATTATTGTGAGGTTAAGCAAATGAGCTTGATTTGAAAAAAATACAAATATTTCTTGAGATCAATAAATGTGAAAGGTATGTGTTGTTGAAGAAAAAATTGGATATCTTTTAACACTGTTTAAAATTTTAACAAATCAATTAGACGATAACAAGCCAAAATTAGGTTAAAACCAACATGGTTAGTCCAAACAACCATACGCCCACAGCAGCTGAATTGTCCGAGCAGTCGACAAGGGTTGTCGCATAGTTATTCTTTTGTAGGTAATTGGGGGCATTTACAAGACAATTTCATACAGATCAGATTATAATTTGTTGTTTGAGGGTTCACAAGGTTCTACAAACTGAAACAAATTTGAAAGGCTTTTTCGTTTTATTGATTTAAATAATGCATAAATTTCATACAGATCGGATGATAACTTTTGTCGTTCGACCGTTCACAAGGTTCACAAAGTAAAACAAGATTGGCAGATAACTTTTGATGCTAGAGCATTCTCAAGGTGCAACAAAGTGAAACAAGGGTCACATCTCTAGAAAAAACTGAAATTCAATAGGCTTCTTTGTTTCACTAATTTAAATAATGCATATAAATTTCACAAAGATCGGATGATAACTTTAGGCGTTAGTAGAGCGTTCACAAAGTGCAACTAAGTGAAGCAAGGGCTATATCTTTAGAAGTAATTAACAGAAATTATTGAAATTAAATAGGATTCTTCATCTCACTAATGTAAACAAGCCAACAGTGAGGCTGATGTCCCCCGCCGAAATAGGAAAATAATTAGAGAGTTATTGTGTTCCAAAGTCTCAGCAAATCAAATTGCTTATCGCTCTGCTTAATCTGAGCAGAAAATGCTCATTATCAATCTTAGTCAAGGTATTACTGTAATGAAACTATACACCAAGTTTCATCACTCTCACTTAATTAGAACTAAAGTTATAGTGTCCCAAAGCATCAACCTTCGAAAGGCGGGGGACAATCAAAGTAGGAGAGTTATTGTTTTCCAAAGTCTCGACCAATCAAATTGCGTATCGCTCTGCTTACCCTGAGCAGAAAATGCTCATTATCAAACTTAGTCAAGGTATTACTGTAATGAAACTATACACCAAGTTTCATCAATCTCACTTAATTAGAACTAAAGTTATCGTGTCCCAAAGCATCAACCAATCAAATTGCTTATCTCTGCTTACCCTAAGCTGAAAATGCTCATCTTCGAACTCCATCAAGGCATTGACCTAATCAACACATACACCAAGTTTGAACATTCTAGCTCAATTAGGAAGAGAGTTATCGTGCCCCAAAGTATAAACCAATCAAATTGCTTATCTCTGCTTACCCTAAGCGGAAAATGCTCATCTTCGAACTCCATCAAGGCATTGACCTAATAAACACACACACCAAGTTTGAACATTCTAGCTCAATTAAAAGTTATCGTGTCCCAAAGCATCAACCAATCAAATTGCTTATCTCTGCTTACCCTAAGCGGAAAATGCTCATCTTCGAACTCCATCAAGGCATTGACCTAATCAACACATACACCAAGTTTGGACATTCTAGCCCAATTAGGAAGAGAGTTATCGTGTCCCAAAGCATCAACCAATCAAATTGCTTATCTCTGCTTACCCTAAGCGGAAAATGCTCATCTTCGAACTCCATCAAGGCATTGACCTAATAAACACATACACCAAGTTTGAACATTCTAGCTCAATTAGGAAGAGAGTTATTGTGTCCCAAAAAGTGTGACGGACAGACAGACGGACAGACAGACGGACAGACAGACAGACAGACAGACAGACAGACAGACAGACAGACAGACAGACAGACAGACGGACGAACCCATTTTAATAGTCCCCTGCTTTCTTCGAAAGGCGGGGGACAATAACATACATCAATTTTAAAACAAAATAATTAGAGCGTTCACAAGAAATTGTGGACGACGGACAGGCGGCAGTTACAGCAATATACGTCCACATTTCCATGAGCGTTCACAAGAAATTGTGGATGACAGACGGATGGACGGAGACAATGGCAATATACGACCACATTTCCATGTGGTGTATAAAAAAGTCAAAATGATTGATTAAATATTTGTTATTTAATAAGAATCCAGAGAATGTATATAATTAGAGATATGTTGACCACACTTTTGGCTGTTTCTATCATTTGCTGAATGTTGTAAATATTGAACAGAATTGAATCATATCTGGACTGATATTCCTTTCACAATATTACAGTTTGCAAGGGTTTAACAGCTTCTCAAGACATTCAGAGACTTTAAACAATGCAAACATATTCCTATAAATTCACTTGTTAGTGCTTTCTTCAACAATACATGTCTTCAACAACAGTCACACCAATAATTTAAAAACAAATTGTTTAAAAATAAATGAACATAAAAATTACAGCCAATACTACAACTGAACAAAAATTAGTGGAGTGCAAAAACAGACAATATTTAGCATAAAATACAATTACCCTCTTGTGTTATTCCTAGCAGAACCTTCCACGGAGCTACATTAATAAAAAATAACGGCAAGGCAACTTATTAAACCGTTCCAAACTGAACCAGGGGATAAGGAAATGCAGGATGATATAAAATAAAGCACAGTTTTTAGCGCACACACAACTAGATTCATTAAAATACAGACACTATTAAAATCTATTTGAAATTAGATTCAAATTCCTTTTTTTTTTTTTAAAAAGAATATATATTTGACTAGTTAATAAGTTTACAAATACAAGTCTAAAAATATGAGATTTATTTTTAAAATAAAACAACATTATTCTGAATAAATGATAAACTTTTGAATTAATATTTTATTTCCAAAGCACCTAGAATTATCAATGAAATTTATTGCCTGTGTTTTAATGAAACACAATGATTTTACTACTTGTATGCACTGTGCAGAAAAATGAATAATGGGAGTGATCTATGAAAGAGATGGGAAACCAAGTGACCACTAACACCATGGGATGTATTCTAATAAACACAAAGTATCATGAATAACCTGTTATTTTGGCTATTCTTTTGAAAATATCAAACATTCTATAAATATTTTATTAATATAACTGACTTAATCATGGTACTTTGTGTTCATATAAAAGAAAACAACTTTGAAAGGGATTTTATTTTTCCGAAAGAATCATTTCAAGTTGTGTCACATATTTCAGGCACTGATAGAATAGGAAACTTATGCCACATGAACAAGGAAACTTGGGGTGATAGCACCAATTCAACCCAATTATACCAGGCCTCAATGCAAGCGGTCCCTTAAAACCTTTTGCGTTAAAAAATATAATTCACCTGAATTGCTAAGTGCCCATTTGTGGACCCAAGAATGTCCTAAGAAAACCCCTATTAATAACAGAAGTGAAATTTTAGTAGAAAATTTAGTTCAAGCAATAAATAAAACTGAACAACTGAATAATAAATCTTTTTGTTTTATAAAAGCAAGATGGGTTAAAAGCGTGAAGTCTAAGGTATTTTAGTCCTCAAATAATCTTATTGTTAGAATATTGAATAATAATAATAATAATCATGCCTGGTTTTCTGGTTTTCACTAGGTAAGAGATTTGTTTTGTTTTTTGTTTTTTTTTTTTAAATTAAAGCAGCAATAATTTTATGCAAGTCAGAATAATTTGTTGTTTTTTTATTAATTTATTAACTTTTAATTATGCTTTTGTAGAATATGCATTTAAAGTTCTGTAAATCAGAGACAGAGAGCAGAGAGAGAGAGAGAGAGAGAGAGAGAGAGAGAGGGGGGGTTTAACGTCCACATGACACAAACTAGGCCATTTTGGGACTAACATGGTTCAATTTCATTTCAATAATTTGCTTGCGCGTAGGGGTCATTAGCAGTAGGAGAAAACTGGAGGACCCAGAGCTAACCCACTAGGTTGGACAGGCGACCCTACTCCTTGTCACATACAAGAGGGGAATTGAAACCATGGCACTTGACTCAATGGCAAACCGTATGATGCAACGTGCACGTGTTAACCATTCGGCCACCCAATCCCCTCCTGTAAATTAAATGGTGTATGAAAGCAAAAGCTATTATGAGGAGCATTGTTGGATTGATGAGATGAAAATAATTTTAGATGTGGATAATTTATAAATGAATATGAATGATGAATATTTTAGTGGAATAACAACACAACATTGCTGTACATCTAAACATTACACCATCATATTTATATAAACATTTTAGACAAGCATTTCAATGAGGCTGGACATATTATTGAGGACTTCTATTATCCACAATATCAATGGATGTTTGGTTTTAATACTATATCTAAAATTTAATGTATGTACTTAACAAATATAGATATAAAACAGAAGCAGCATTTGGAAAAATGATGAAACGTAAACATTGTGATCCAATGACATTTCCCCCCCCCCCCCCAAACACTGTGATGATAATTTCTCTAGTCTAATGCTTAAACAAAGAAATCAAAATTATTTATAAACTATCTGATCTTAAAACTTTATTTCAAGTAAAGATTAATATCATAAAATTTATCTAATTTCGCAAATGGCAAATTGTAGTGCAGTTTCCAACATAAAAGTATTCTATTACGACAATTCAGCTAGACAATTTCCGAAAGAAAATCTACTAAAATCTGTCTAAAAAAAAATGAATAAATTAATAATGTACTTAGTACTTACTTTCATTAAATAATTCATCGGCATCAAATACAGTACCGGTATCAGTCTTTATTTGTTTACCATTTAATATATTCTATAATAAACATAATTTAGTATATTCTTCAATAAACATAATTTAATACATCCTACACAAACAAGTTAATAGTCTAAATCAAGACTTCACACAGCACAATTTTGACAGGATTTATTGTTAAGTTACCTTTGAACAGCCACTTGGCCAGAAATCCAATGCTGTAGTTATACTAGACACTTATCATTATTCTAATATCTAGCTTATCAAATCTACCTGACAACTTACTTTAGTGTGGGTGTATTAAACGAGAAGAAAGATGGACAGGTCAAATATCTCAAAGAATTGTTAATTAGCAGAAATGAGCTTTTGATAAATAAATAATTAACGAATTTACCTCTTGATAATGTGTAGGATTATAATGTGAACGTTTTCCGTCTACACCATCAGGGCTATCATTTCGTAAATCTTGTATTCCACTATCTTGGGATGTGAAATCACGTTTTTTCTTGATATCCTCGTAATGATCAAGCTTACTGTTGATACTCAGATTGTGAATATCTGCTGTTGTTTTCTTAATCGAGTTATAAATATCTTCTGGATTTAAATTCTCGGTTTCGTTATCATCAGGATGTCCTAGACTAGACCTGAAATACAATAAGAGTCATCACTTTTGCTTTATAAGATATTCAGAGAATGGACATACAGGGTTTCAAATCGGGCATCAAGGTAACAAAATTCATTCAATCTGATTGTTTAACAGATCAATTCCGTTTTCAAGCAGAATACAGCATTATTAAAAATTAATAGCCACACTGCAGTCGAGTCGAGGCAATTTAAAAACAGAACAAAAGAAAGCTAAGCATACCTTGAAGGAGGTCGACTACGTTGTTGTGAAGTATTATGGGGTAGACTAGCAACATTTCTCTGTGAAAGAACATCGGATGTACCACTGCTACTGGCAGTACGAATATGATTATGAAGAATCTTTGTGGCACCATCCTGAAAGATAAACACCAAATTATGAGAAACTCTTCACAGTTACTTGCAACTTCTGACTTTTATAAAAATCATATTTAAGAATTTTTCAGATACTCAAACTAGAAAAACTAGCATGGTACTTTGTTAAAGTTTTCTACTATCTGAAAAAAATATATTTTGAAAGAAAAAGCTTGAATATTACCTGGAATGGTTTTGGTATGGCTGATAAAATTAGTGAAAATTCAGCTGAATTACAATTAAATAGTGCAATTAACACATTCTGAGCTGACTGAAAAATACAAAACAAGATAAAACATTAAGAGAGAAAAAAATTAAAACAAAATAAAAATAACCATTTCTAAAATTTCTCAAAAAATAAATGATAAAGGAGATAGATAAGTTTGTAAACTGAGACAATAATACCCACTTTTCTAACTTCTACATGAGGTTCCGTTGTCCAGCTGATTATTTTAGATATTGCTACTCTTGACTCGGTGGAGTTAACTAGGGCTGAGGAATCCATTTGATTGGCTAATGCATGTAAAAAGTTCAACACTGATATCTTTATCTGAAACCAAAAAAAAAAATATAATAAAGATTTTCAAAATGTTACTATGCCATGTGTTGTATGTCATGTATATATGAGACATAAGGAATCAACTTTCTTCCAATACATGTACTATCTCTAACTGAAATAAAAATATTATTGTGCACAATAAAATCAGGTTAAAAATTAATGCAGATATGGTACATTGTATCTCAAATTAAAAACTTGTTTCAAAACTACCACAATCTATTTAAATTGTAAAGTTTTATCCTAATTCATAGCATCCTATGATTGAATTTTTACAATATTTATAGAGTGTGCAAAATATCATACTTGGTTGGGGAAGAAAGAAATGAGGGTTGTGTAATTTGGAAATTATCAAAAACCTAACAGGTGTATTTAACTTTAGGGGAGTAAATGGGTGATTGGACCATTGTCTACAAATTGTTTTAATATTTTTGATTATGATACACGTTTGTTATTGTATTGTGACATGAATCTTAGTATAAATATAATATAATATAGAAGAAAATCTGAAGCTATTATTTTTGATTACATAAATACAATTACCAATAAGCTAAATTTTGATGAGAATAACAAAATAAAATAAAACTTAAGGAAACTGAGTTATACATATAAAATAAAGTTTCCTATCATGCTAAGTAAGATGGGTCTATGAAATCTAGATATAATCTGATAAATAAGTAATTAAAGATAAACAAAGGAAAAAAAAATTCTTAAACTGTTACCAAGACTACCTAAGTAAATAAAAAATCTAGCCAAATTGATCAATTTAAATAGTTCACACCATAACCATGCCTATTTAAATTGTGTATCAAGGGAGGGAGAATTCAATTACACCCTGGGAACCTTAAGATACCAAAAATAAACAATGTGCACACACATACAATACACACAACATCTAAATAACACATCACCAACATTCATCTCAAAATCGGTCAGAAAAATGTTAATTGTCTTCAATCTGTTTGTTGAGACAGACTTTAGGCAAGAGTCTATTGTAGTCACTACACTGAGCATACATGTATTACTGAAAATATGCACTGTCCCCACAATCTCCCAGTCCAATTTCTTGTTGGGCTTTGAGCTATATAAGCAAAGTCTAATAATCCTATTTGTGCATGTATCTCTTTTGTGTCAGAAAGATCTTATACTCCAATTACATGCTGAAACTGCCAATATGAAATCAAGCCAGAACCTACAGTTAATAACATGTGACTGTTTTTTAATGTTCTGTTCAAACGTGTTCCATGATTAAAAGAGTCCCAGAATACGGTGAACAAAGTTGATTTATTAAAAATATAAGCTACAACATCCATCAACATAATTTATAAATAACAACATCAAAAAAACACACTCAGTTATTTCAATTACACAATATCTACAGCCAGTTTAACATTACATACAAAATTAATAAACTTTTGCTAGCTAATCAGACAAACTTATATTACAGTATCATGTTTAAATCTTATTCAACGTTGAATTATCCGATATTTTGGGTTTTTAAAAATATGAATAGTAACAGTTTTTCATAATAGTATTTTGTTTTTCAAAATTTCAGAAGTTATTATTTTCATATGCAACATTAAAATGGCTAATTCAGGTGAATAAACATATATATAAAAGCCGAGGAGAGACAGAGGTTGAGATAGAAGATTTACCTTTTGCTACAAGAAATAGAAAACAAAACATTTTACTACATGGCTACAGTTTTAGCATTTTGCACATAAATTTGAATTTCACTAAAAGATTGTGAAATCATTAAATTGGGCTTAATAAAAATATTATTTTCTCTGCGATGTTGACTGTTCAAAAGCTGGTTTTGATTACTATGTGTTTAATGTCATATCATGCAAAGTGATTTTTTTTAGAATAATACATTTTAGGCTACACAAAATAAATGTCTTGTTTCTCGGGCAACTGACAGCTGAAACTGTAGAGGGGGAGGGCGGTTTATTTTTTTTTTTTTTACCTCATTTCTGGCTAGAGGATGGTGCAAAATAAAATTTGGCTATTGTTGAAAATTGTTGGGGCGGGAGGGCGGCCTTGTATTTTTTTTTTTTTTTAATGAGAAAGTCATTACTTGTCTACAGTTTTGCTTTCAGTTATATATTATACATACTTAGAACATAAACCCAAAAATCAAGTCTACTCAAACATTGAACACTGACTGTAAGGAAAATAATTTTCCATATTTAATTCACGTAATGTAGCTTACTAATGGTAATGGAGACAACCATAATTGAAATTGGTTTAAAATAAAATTCCGTACGACTATTAATAGCCGTCCATAATAACGACAATATTTTAAAGAGTAAGCCTCTGTCAGCATGTGTATCAAAAATAATCATCACGGTAAACGACACTTAGATCTAAATCTAGTATCGCTGGTTTATAATGATTGACCTAATTCCAACCAATGCATGTCACGTGTCATCAGGATTCAGGAAATGACCGTTTCTCAGGATATTCGGTGTGTTTCTCAGGATATTTGGTGTTCTATCTGGGGTTTATATCGAATGACTATTTAAATTTAACTAACAACTGGTCAGTAAAACCATCAAATGTGTAATCCAATTATTATTTTCCGGATTATCAAAACTACCGTTAAATGTGCTAATGACCCAGATTCTGACTAAGGTATGGTGACTATCATCGTATCGTATTCGTAGCCACAAGTTATAATAATTAACCTGTTCTACGATTCATTGTTTTATAAGTAGGATTTTTTCAAACATGGACCGACTGAAGCCGGCAATAATGAGCCGATTAAGATCGAATGATTGAAACACAATGCATTGTTGTCAATGACTTTCGGTGTTTAACACGAATCAAATTCTAGTTCACAAGGGGAGGTAATTAAAATCATGTGATACAAAAATGGAGGTTCTTTCGATATCAATAAAAAAGACCCGTAAATGAGCGTTTACATCTGAATCATTCACGTATGGGGCATGTAGATACATGTGGCATATTCTTTTTATGACTTGCTTATCGATGTTCGGGCGGGCGTTACATATTTTTTATTTTTCATCAAGACTAATAAATAGGCCGCATGCGCAACCAATTTTGCGTGCGGGCGGTGCCCGAGAAACAACTTATTTTATTTGTGTTGCCTTAAGTGAACATACAAAATTATCTTCTTTAGTGAAATCAAACAAAATATATCAAATGGGCACAAATATCTATGCATTTTATTTTTTTGAGTGGACTAAAATGATGATTTCTGTCATTTTCCATGCAAAAGTTCTCAAAAAATTTACAGCAGAGATATAATAAATTTCCATAAACAAACTACATTTTTCCCCGATAGCTTGCAAAACTAAGTAAATTGCATTGATATGTTCAAATTTGATATCAAACTGATTCATGGAAGAGAAGTTTTTCTATATTTGGGAATATATATCTCAGATTTGAGAACTATCATCTGTGTGAAATATGAAAGCACAGCTTGTCAATACCAGACGTGTTATTATTGGCGTCTACTTAACAACAAGGGGAGATAATCAAGGAGGGAATAGGCCTAGTGTCACAGCAATCTAAGCACAGATAGCATTCGATACATCACTTACCTTTAAATTGGGTGACTGATTCAAAAATTGATCTGTGATAAATTTGGTTACTGTATTAAATTGATTCAAAAAAGGAAAATTCAATCTGAAAGTATAAAGAAATAAGCATATCCATGAAAGGCTACAATAAATAGGTCTAGGTCTTGCTGCACGTGTCACAAAAAATCTCTTAAAATTTCAGTCATTCCAAATCAAAGAATATTTTGTACAAATGTAGTTACGGGTGACACAAAAATATATTTCCAAGGTTAATTCTGCATTCTAGAACAATTTGGAGATCTAAATAATTAATTAATATATATACTAAAAATACATGGTTCAATTTCATTTTAATAATTCGCTTGCGCGTAGGGGTATTTAGCAGTGGGGAGGAAAGCAGATTTTTTGACTGGACTTAGTAAAGTCTCTTTGCATCATTTTAAGGCAATATGAATCCCTTGCAAATCCCTTCAAAGATATGTTGAATAGAAATTTCACTGATCTATGCTACATACTATGTAATAAATCGGCCGTCATTTTGTTGAGGGCAAACACACTCAATGGTCCTGTTTTAATCAGATTGAATTCTACCTGAGAGATTATCTAGTGTTGGTATTTTGACTTCTTAGTTATATGTTAAATAATCAATCGAAGTACCTATTAGCATGGAATAAGCCTTAATAAATTTAATATTTTAGCTAAAAGTGCAAATGGTGTACATTAATTTAACATTTTAAGGAGAAATATAATTGTAATACAATACCTGACTGTATCAAGAGCTTTCTGTAATCTAGCATTGACTGATCCGAGCATCTCTGATCCAGTTTTAATTAAAAGCCGTGAAACTAAAACATATAACCAATCTAACAGGTCTTGATGATGTAAATTAATTAAATAAACTAAAGTATCCATAAAAATACTGAAAACCTGAAATAAGAGAAACAAGAATTTATAATTTATCACAAATTGCAAAGTTAAAAATATAAATAGGAGTAAAATTTAAATAAATTCAAGCAATGGCATAATCTTTTTCAATCCACAGTCAAAGTTTTTTAGACAACTTACTCTAAAAATTAAATCATTAAAATATTTACAACTAAAACTGGTCAGTACAATCTGTATTTAATTCTAACTTACTTTACTGTGTGGATCATGAAACATTCTAGTAAATATCTCGGTTACTTTCTTTAATTCACCACGACTAAAAGATAAAAACATTAATTATTATAATTTTTTTTCCATGAGTTTATTTAAAAAAATATATCTGAAAACAGAATGGTAAAATGGGAAAGAAGTTAAAGAAGACATTAAAGAGAGGATATGAAATTTTTGTAATATTAAGATCATAATGAGATTTTATTAAAGATACATTATGGGAGATAAGATAAAGAGATGGCAGTTCTCGCTATAATATAGTTAAAAACTAGATAGTGTAAAGGTAATTTGCTGAAAATTTCAGTCAAATTGATCCACTATGAGCCGAGAAAGAAGCGGGTGAAATTTTCGCATAGTCTCGGTCATCATTACTAAAATCATTAATATAAACAGCATAGTCTTGATTATTCACTTTTTTTTATTTAATTATCAATGGCCGTTAGCGGCATATAGGAATCTAATCCAGCCAACATCGAAGGCTAGCCTTGACATCGAGAGTTTATTATGGTCTGGATAAGATAATTAATGTCTAATTGATAATTTACATAACATTTCAGGTCTAAAGAAAGACTTGTAATAAGCAGATTTTGCTCTTGCATAATGCATGTTTAAACTAGATACATTAGTTAAAGAGTTTAATAAAAAGTTGGTCATTCCTGCTATACTAAACCAAAAATAGATGATAAAACAAGAAAATTTCATTCAAATTACTTCATTCTCAGCCAATTTATCATTGTTTGTAGTTTTGACAAGATGTGTGCACAGTGGTAACCAGGGCACTGGTATAATCGGGACTTATAAAAAATATAAAACCTACCTTAAATATCTATTTGCACGCAAAACTAACTGTAATGATATCAAACCCTCCTTTCTCTCTGTGTATGAACCACTCGCCATACATGCTAATATTTCTTGCATATCCTGTAGTAAGTTTAATAAAATATTGATTAAAAAATATAAAAGAAAAGACAATCTAAAAATTGTCAAAACTGCAAGTAAAATCCAAAACCATATTGGACAAAAATTAAATGAACTGTTGTCAAACAATTTAAATCAATGAGACATCAAAGATTTTTAAAACATTTCTTTATCCCAGAATGGGATATTTTCTAGCATATATTATCTATATAATTTCAATTGTGTAAATAAAGCTATGAGAAATCTGAAGAGTGCAAACTTGTACAAGGGCATGCTTTATAAAAAAAATCGAATTTCAGGTAACCATCTAAAACAATTATCAAAATAAATTTATCAAATAAAGTAAAAAAATTTAGTGTGATAAATAATTTTGACATTAAAACACAATAATTTTTCCACAAATTACAATAAAAGATTCAGAAAGAGAAACGAAAATTTCTGCTAAAAACAACTTCATTGATGTGTGAGAAAGGAACTACATCTCTTTCTAATAAGACATCAAGATTGGAGAGAGAGAGAGAGGAAAAAAAAATATTAAAAAATCATAATATAGATTTAAAATGGGATCACACAAATAATAAATTCAATTAAAAAGCTAATTATGATATTCTGCTATGGAGTGCTGTCAAATTTTAGCAAGATTCTACCAATAATAAGCTCACTTATTTCTTATGAGATACTGTTACATTTTTTACTTTTTATATTCCAAACACTTGAATAAATGATCAATCCTGAACAAAGTTCTGTAAATGTTTTTTTTTTTAATAAACATCAGTGTACAGCAGTTTCCTTTAACAGAATATACATGAGCCTAACAAGCATGCTGGTTTAATTTGATGACACAGTTGTATAATTAGCTACCTTTCGTTTGGCTGAAGATAAGTGATGTATCCTTTCCGTGTCTGATGACTTAACGTAGCACAAACAAAAAATATACACTACAAGCATTAGCGAAGCTTGACTATCCTTTTTAATGATTTTTGTAATTATTTGTTCTTTTTAGAACATTTTTTTAAAGTCTCATAGAGATATTGAATTCCATGTAAGACTAAGTATATAGATAGTCCCCTATATAATAAGGGCTTCATTATGGAACCAGCAGTCGGACCCCGTATTGCAATGGAACATGTCCTTAATAGAATCATTGTGAACATATATGGTTACCAGCAGCAAAGTTGTTCTCACTAAATATAAAATCTCAACAAGTTTAAAAAATTTCCTCTGAGAAGTTTATCCTTTATCACGTTCACAAGATTTCCCAATGTTTTAAGGAAATGTGTGGGTAGGGAACTATAACTCACAAAATATTCTGAACTTCAATAGGTTTCCTGCTTGTACCCCTTTGACCAATACCACCTAGTTTTAATAAATTCAATTGATATTTTTTTTTCTGTATTGCATTCACAAGCTTTACACAGTCAAAATATAAATGGGAAGGTTAACTCTGAAGAATGCTTCCAAAAGTTACGATCAGACAATTTTGAAACTCAATATGTTTCATTCATAAAGTAACGATGTGGCATTGGCATTTATCGCTAAAATATCAAATTCCTCAGACTTAATCCATGCTAATCCTGGCTTAGATTCATTCGGATTTAAAACAGGCCTATCATTAAATTTTCGTGGACAACAAATTCTCGGCAGGCTGATTGCATAGCAAGCAGAATAGATTGATTTGATTCCACATCTTTGTAAGTTCTGAACGAAATTGTAACATTTTGGACTAAAATTCCTATTAGAGATTCACCTTTAACAATATTTAGTTTGTAGGTGATTCCTATTGCTTAAAATAGTGCATCAGAACTTTAAAGGAAAATTAACAATCTCAATGAGTTTCAAAAATGAGTTTTTTGAGAAAGCCGTCAAATCATTCCAGTTAATTTAATTTGAAAAAAAAACCCCAACAAACCCCCAAACAAATCTGACAAGAATTTTAAATAAATATGTGTAATATTCAACAGAAAACTTAGACTGATTGACAAATATGGGGGCCCGACAATATACGTCCACATTAATAATGCGTAAGAGTCAAATAAGAGGTTTTACTTCAGTAATAAGCAGAGCAAAGATGATTTCTTTAAGCGTGTGAGAATTTTGACAGGAGCTGACAGGACTTGAGATCTTCAATTTATTGATGGGATATCATCATGCCAAATTTACGAACTACACACTACTTCATATTTATAATCCTGCTACAAATAACTTACCTCTGATGTTCGACCGCTGTAAGATGTATACGATCTTTCTGAGCAGACACTACTTGTTTCGCTGGCTCCATCATCAGAATCATAATTATATGTCTTTCTATTTGGTGTTCTCTGAAAAAAAACCCAGATTTTTTTCGATTCAAGTGCCATATTTTGATTTATTTTATACTCAATTCTAGCAACATTATACAATTTACTTTGCAATTCAAGCACCAGTACACAATTTACTGTCTAGTTTAAGCAATGATTTTGATTTAATTCGAGTATAGTCTACATCTTCCATATGTTTAATTATGCTGCATTGCTTAAGGTCTTGAACAAAAGTGTGAACTTTTTCTTCAATATATAAATAGTGACACATATACTGTATGTAATCAAACTTGTATCTTCATTCAACTGTCAAAATAAAGAATAAATTTAACTTACAAGAGCATCTGCTATGGAATCTTCTAATTCACTGCCATGCCGTAATAAACGATGAGTCATCAAAGAAGCTAAATGAAAAAAAAAAAATAAATAAATAAATCGAGATATTAAATAAAATATCTTAAGAATGGAATAGTAATATTATATTGTTTTGGATCTAATTTCTGTCACATATTTGGAGAGAAAAATGGGATAGTAACAATCTGATTAAAATACAGATCTATATTTCAATTCGTTTTTTCATACTGTCAATGGCCTCTACTACATGAAGATCTGACCGGTTGTAATGGGAGGTCGCGTCAGGGGTCATACATGCAGCTTTTAACCCTATGATGTCAGAGATTTGATTAACCAATCAGCATTGATGTTTCTAGTAGGATACCCGAAGTTCCGTGCACGGCAAGAACTTGCTGCAACAGACCGTTTCATTGACTAATCCCTCACATCAACCATAACGCGGGTTATATAACAACTCTTCCATATCCTAGTGTAGTAAAGACAAGTAAACCAAAATTTTGAACTATAAAAAGTGAAACGAAATAGGATCTGTGTTTTAATCAGATTAGTATAGTAATTGACAATTTGGGATTATTGTTAATTACACACAATTTGAGACTAAACGAGAATTAGGTCATTTCACTGGTGGCTCTTTAGAAGCTTTGAAGACTTGTAGATTGAAGACTGCCAACAGAATTCTTTTTTACCAACATATAGCCTACATCTCTATAAGAGACTGCAGTATATTATGCTAGAATATATTATAACACCACTTACTTTTTCCACCTGATCCTATCTTACTTCCACTTAAACGTCTTTCTCTACCTGTAAATATAGGTAAACAATCAGATCAATTCATAAACTTTATCACAAATAAAATTTCTGACACCTCCAACTAGGTTAACCACAAGATCTCGAGTCAGAATTGAACATATACATTTACTTGTATTGACTGTGCAATAGAGTGTTTTATCAGAGAATCTTTAAAGTTTACTGAACAGTCTGGACTTTTTTTTTATTCAAAAAAAAACATATGCCTTTGGCATGCTTTGGTGGCCAATCTCAACAACATTATTTCTCGTGCGTACAATTTTACTTTTTTTCTTGTGAATTCCTCTTTCCACAATCTCAACTTACCATAAGTATTACGATTGGGACTAGCTTCACGACTGGCACCTTGACTTCTTGGCATCGACTTACGCGTCCTGTTTGGTGTCAAATTAGAATCTGTTCGTGCTTGAGTGGTGTGAGTTAAATAATTTAATCTGGATGAAGGAGAGTTCGACCGACTTCCAGCTAAAAAAAATCATTCAAAAATTTATTAGTATACAAAATCTAGTGTAAAGAATATTTTTAGTTAATATTTCTGTTTGCCAAATAGTTTAATCGCACATGCTTTCTTGTGCCATTTTCATATTTCCGTAACATTTTAATCTGCACACATGCATTATGTTATGAATGAAACTGAAAGTCCCAAGAAGGGAGGATCGATACAGTACAGTGATGATCTCTCCTGTAATGGATGGTACCCCTTTTCTGATGGCAGATCAGGTAACTTATATGGTCTCCATTTAACAACAAATCCAATCATGAGTCAACTTCATTTTTCGGCTTCTCTGATCTTAGTTAGTTGAGTGTTTATTAATTAGTTTTGGTGTAGAATTAAATAATTAGTTTCAAAAGTTACATTATTGTTAAAAGGTGCACACAAACAGATTATTTTCACACAGAAGAAACTTTTTTCACACACCTGAAAACTGTTCCTTCATTTCTTATTATTACAACAGAAACACAACCCGTCACATAGTCAGAAATCATTTGTAAATCCCAACAGGTGTCATTTGAAAGTAAGGGATTTACAAATGATTTCATATTTAGTATCCGGTGACAACAAACAGATATTGTGTTAAAATATTTAAATATCAGGGGCTTTGTTTTGTTCACATAAATTACAATACGAGTTCACATTAAAAAAGATACAAAAATTTGTAAAATGTCAATCAACATTCAAAGCTCACTTTAAGAGCGGAAATCAGATTGCAAACTTGTCAAAAAATAAAAATGACCAAATAAATGAGGTTAAATAAAAATCATGCAAACTCTGAAAGCGTGTATAATTTGCAAAAATATATCCAAAGGTAGTTCTCTCAAAATCCTATTTATTATATATACAAACTTAATGAGTTACTCATGCATTTCATATGCAATTCTAATTTCAGTTGTTATCCTTTGTATTTTGTTTTTATCATGCAAAATTCATAAAGAGTATCAAATACTAATGTATGACTGTGTACACTTAGATATAATATTAATGTAGGCAAGGTCAAAGGTCATGCTTCGTCTATTGAAATATCTAAAGCAACCTTTTCCCATACTTGGTGGTTTGATAAATTCTCACACAAAAACACAAATCATCGGATTTTCATTCCTTATCTTCCTCACACGAATAAACTACTATGTCATGCCTAGAATTTACAGTAAGGGCAGGCTACTCACGCTGTGATTGTGACATTCCCATACGAGTTCGATTTCGGCTACGATTAGGGGAAGGGGCGATGAGACTTTTCACAGATTTACTGCCTGTACTACTGCTTTTCTGTCGGGCTGTAAAATAAACTTTGTTATTGCAAGTTGTCTAGATTTGTTCCCCTTTCATCTGTTAATTTGGATTGTATTAAAAAGATGAATTGATTCGAGTGATGAACACATTTAAATAATAATAATAACGATATATTCAATGAATTGTTTAATTAAAAAGTTACAATAATGAAAGACTTCAAAATATAGAACATATCCTAATAAGCTTACAATATGATTGCATCTAAAAACATTTTTTTTGTTAATATTTCAAACCTTTTTTCTTAATATTAGCCCATAATGAATTATTATCCGAATTACCATATCTCAATTAGGAGAAAAATCAATAACAACATTTCTTAAAATATAATAAATATTAGTAAATCTACTTTTTTTTCCTTTAATTTTATAGTTCTAAGAAAAATGAATCTAAATTTTTTATCAAAAATATATCTTTCTAAAAATAATAACATACTCTATAGTTTAAAATTTCTAATCTAGTAGTACGAACTATGTGGATATTGTTCTAAACAATTTGTAATCGAACATAAATAAAATTATTGCACTATATATAACTATAAATATTCTATATGTATAGGAAATATAATAAATTGACTAACTTTTATTTTTATAAATTATATCGTAACATTCCGTGAGATATTCTAGCAATAAAAAAAGTTTGATGAATACAGAAAATTATATAATTATCATTCCGAGTAGATATATTTATCTATTTTCCAAGAGAAAGATTAAAATTTAAATTTGTGATTATATTGAATAATATGAATTAAATAATTTGAACATGCGAATATTGGAGTTTATAGCTTTGTATAACATGCTTACTTTGTAAGAGATACAGAGAAATTTGCCGAAGAAACCTGTTTGTCTCTATAATCAAATTATATGTTTTCTTATGTTGAATGTTGAATTGATGAAAGAATGAAAGGTGAAATATTTCTTTGTTTTTGTAGCTAATCTGATAACAGAAATTATGTCCCCCCACCCCCTCTAATAAACAAGATAATATTCAAATTTAAAATAATAAATAATGATGTGTTAGATTTACTTTAAAATTATGAAAGCGAAATTGGCAAAAAAATCAAAAGCTACATCAAAACAAATAATAATATTAACAATTTAACAAAGTTTGACTAAACGGTAATTAAAAAATAAACTACGTATGGCACATAGAACTAAGACAACTTTAAAATAAAATTTACAATAAAAGCAGATTTGATACTTGACGTGTACTGTGAAATGAACTGCCATTTGTAGTGGGGGAGCAGCTTAAGCTATTTGTAAATTGGGTACTTTAGGATTAAATTTGAGCATTATGATAAACATTTCTATTTTTAGCTTGATGGCTTTTAAAATCACAAATTTAAAGCGATTTTTTTTCATATATCACTTCATAGTATGAAGTTCATACGATGCAAAAAAAGGAAAAGATGACCAATTTCCTATTCCCAATTTTGACCTATAAAATGTTGTTTTTTTTTTAAAATACCCTTGATATTTGTTAATTCAAATTTTAAGTTAAACTGTTGATTACAAATATAGATATTGATAACAATATGTAATAAAAGTTAATAATATAATTCAAAACCATAACTAAGTATATCATAATATTGGTCTATAAATAACCGCATGATGGCTATTACTGGCCGCCACAAGATTCAAGATGAATGTAAATAATGAGTTAGTTCTTACGTAGCGAGTTAGTGGATCCAGGCGCTAGCCGGGATGCCGATAACAAGGTTGTCCGTGGTCTGGGAGAGATTCCATTTGTTGCTGCTAGATCTACTGCACTACTAGAGCGCATAATACCCCGCGAAGATGTCGCCGTGTTTCGATATGTTTTATCAACCCTCAAGGTTTCTGTAACAGGAAGATTTTTTTATGTAGAAAAATTGTAGTGCATTAAAATAGATTTGCTAAACAGACTGCATCAAGTTTTCAACCGCCAAAATACAACATCATGCAACATTTACTGGTAAAAATATAAGCAGAAAAATATTTCAAGCTTGTTAAAAAAAATAATGAAATATAAATAAAATAATAAATATCTTTTTAAAAAGCAACAAATTTTAAAAAATAATTCAAAATTTAAGATTAAAAAAAAAACAGAATCACGAAAACTTGATACAAGTAGCTAAACAGAGTACATTAACAGAGTTCACAGGTCAACAGTTGAAAGGTTACAGTACAGGTTAAAACAATTAAGAAGCAAGGTGAAGCAGCAGTGAGTGATGTGATAATCATGTTAAGTTTTAGTTCATATACCAATCCTGTAAAATCCTGTTAATCATATTCGGGCCAGTGGTATATGATCTAGAACTTGCATATCTACATAAGATTAATTCATTGTCAAAATATTTTTCCTACTAGTTTTCAATGCTTTGTGTCAAATAGATTTTAGCTTCTGAACAGTCTTGACGTAACTTTTTTCAAAATCAGTTTCTAAGAATGATTGAATGAATACATGTTCAAGCAGAAACTAAAAAAAAAATAATTCACTTCATTTTATATCTTTTAAACAAATACACTGCATTTTAGAAGGACTTCATCATGCAAACGAAAAAAAACCCAACACAGTTTATAATTAGCAGTTTCGTTTTATACTCAAATTAAAGTCGTGAAAGTTGTGAAATGCTTGTTTTTATATGGCATCAGAGATTCCAACCTTTGAATCACTTTGATTAATTTTTTGATTCATTATTGAATTAATAGCATTTGGTACCAGTAACTGATGTTCTGATCTGAAGCAGTTTAGTATTGACTTATTTAGCATTTGATAAAAATGTCATATTAGATGCATTTTATTAGATCGATTAAGCGGTAACTTGAGAGAGAAAAGTCTTGTAATGAATAATCGTATGTTGACATCTATTGTTATGATATAGTTCTATATTGATACATGTATCTCTAGGTTATCATGTGACTAGATTACCTTGATAACCCTGAGCTAACTCCTCCAAGTCTGATTGGATGGAAAAAGAAAATAGTGTCAAAAAATGAAATAATTGTTCATAAAGCATTCTCAGGATCAAATTTGCGAGATCAATTTTTTCAATGGCATCTAAATTTAAGAACCACTGTCTAAGAGTATTTATCCATTAATAACTTGCAAATTAAGATTCTGAAAATATCTTTAAAACAATATGAAGAACATGAAAAAAAAAAAAAAAAAATTAATATGTCAAAAACAAGTAAAATCATTAATAAAATTGTGAAATTAGAATAAAAAATCTGAAATAAATCCATCAATAATACAATACAAAAATCTTCATGAAATTTGAATTAAAAATAGCAAATAAAATGATTTGCCTGACATAAACATTTCGCAATAACATCTAATGACAATAATTTTTCAGTAGTATTTCTTCTATTCAAAAACTGTGGTGCCAAGTGAAACCCATGACAATTTACATGCCAGTAAATGTTTTCTTAGGAAATTTCAGTTTTATATTTATTTAGTTTAAAACACCAAATTGAAACCTCAAAATAATAAAATCCTATATATTCCTGAAAACAATAAAACATACCAATAACATAATCATATAAAGCTTAAAGCTAAGCAATAAGCCATCAAGCTATTTATTTAACATACCTCCACCAGCATCACTCTTGGAAGAACTGTAACGTGCTGATCTTCTTGCTCCTGAATTTCTCCTGAAAAAAAGGTAAAGTAAAAATAATAAGGCTTTTCATTGGTAGACACATTAAAATAATCAATTTGCTATGTCCAATACAAAGGCGTCAAGACATTTAATGGCTAATATACAATACAACCTTTGGGTCTCTACAATGCCCCTGTGCCATTCCTACCATTTAATGGAAATAAATGATAGGCAAATCTTCAAATAGCTGGTCTTTTTTTATAATATGTTGTATGCCAGAAAGCATTAATAAGAGCCATTTCACGACAAATACCAACTTCAACACAGGTCTATGTCATTTACAAGACTTGTAAAATTGAGCAAGTGACCAGTTCATTTACTGATGACTTACTTGAAGTTGCACCTGATAAAAAGCTATGGCTGAGATTTGGAGATAATCCACTTTAATGAAAATAAGTCTATATTACAAATAATCTAATACTTACGTTAATGTACTTGACTCCAAGCTACGATCCTGACTAGCAGACCGTGCTCGATTACGCACCATTCTGTTATTTTCATTACTATTTATAGAGTTGCTACTAGATGACCCGCTTATCTCCCCTTGTAACATCTTTTGTTTAGAGGAATCTAAATTATTTAATAAAGCATCTGCTTGGTCCTTAAAATGGTCTGCAAAACCCCAAAAAGCTCTGAAAATTAAAACAATAACAGAATGGTTATCAAGAAAGATAATTAAAATTTGATTGTTTTTTTGTTATTCATAGTCATTGTGGTACAAAATGATCAAGGGACATAACTCCAAAGAAAATTGATGAAAATCATTGAAGAAAGTTTAACAAAGATGAATAAAACTTACTTTCTAGAGAAGGATCTAGCTTCAGAATCGGCATCACTAATGCCACGTTTTATAGCATCTTGTAATAATGCTATATGTCGTTCTAAGATATGGGTGGGCCAGATGTGTAATAATTGATTTAATAATTCACAGGAATATCTGTAATATAAAATAAACAACAATGTCAAGTTCCATTCTCAACAAACCTGTGAACATTTATTAATGAAATAAAAGCTTGCTGACAAATTTCTATCAAAGCTGACAATCGAACTAAGTCTCTTTCTTCAGTTGATTTTGAGGAACACTCATTCATTTTACTTTCTTCACTCTGAACCATGAAAAATGTACTTTCTTTTGTTAAAACCAGTAAAATTACTACTATAATGACTTACCGTCGTAATATATTAGACTTGGATGTCAAGTTGCCAGTTATTTGTGGAATCAATCTTGGTGTAAAAACATATTGTACAATAAATCGGATACACACGACACCAGAGGTAGACATGACCTTGGCTGTGTTAGGAACTAGTTGGAAAAGAGTCTGGAAAACAGATTCCGCAAAATGATCAAATTTATGACCTAGTGTCTGGGCAAGGTATCTGAAATATAAAAATAAAAAGATATAATAAAATAACATGTTATAGGGTCTTTTCACCAAAGATGAATTTATATGCTTTAAATATTAAAATACCCATGCAATGAAAAACAATAATTCATAACATTAGAGGTCAATCGAGGAAAATAGTAAATAAATCTGGGGAGTGTCTTGGTTTAACTCTTCTCTTTTAGTTTGGTTTGTGAATTCAAATTCAGGACTCAATTTATAAACTTTGATTTTATTAGAGAATTCATCTATAGAATAAAACTTACGCAATAGTAATACATGCTTCTCTAACAACTTGAGATCGCAAATCTTTAGCAGCCATGTTAAAACTAGATTCTAAACTTCGTAAACTTTGGTAAAATTCATCGTGATCTGTTGCTCCATGTATAACTAATGACCGCACAACCTTTAGCTGAAAAAATAAAAAAAAATAGACTGTGCTTATTGTTCTGGAAATAATTCTTTAAATCTGACTTAAGTTTACACAAATTAACTCTTTTGCCAATAACTGTTGCAAGGTAAAATTTGGAAACCACATATATGGACAAGGAGATATACTTATTTCCGTTGTAATGAGGAGCCTGGAATCAATAGTGAAAAATCCCAAGATCGCAGAATTGGGCAATACCTCTTTTAACAAATATAATTTACTTACAACTTCTATTCTTTTCTCCCAATCTTCATTTGGGTTACTTAAAACAGACTGAGCCTTCTGTAAGTTGTCTTGTACATCTCGTGCAGAGAATATCTGAATTTTAGGAACATCTTCAAACGATTTAATAAATAACTCTTCATCCATAGCCCCTGCAGCACCAGCAACACTTGTGGCTGAAAGGTAAAATGTCAAAATGTCAACATATTTTGAACAGAGAGAGAGAGAGAGAGAGAGAGAGAGATGAGGTTGTTTAACCTCCACTCGACACAAACTAGGTCATTTTAGGACTAACACATGGTTCAATTTCATTTCTATAATTTGCTTGCACGTAGGGGTCTTTAGCAGTGGGAGGAAACCGGAGGACACAGAGAAAACCTGCAAGGTTGGGCAGGTGACCCTACTCCTTGCCATGTACAACCAAGGAATCGAAACCACGCCAGTTGACTCAATGACAGACCTTATGATACAGCGTGCACATGATTACCATTCAACCATCCAACCCCACTATTTTGAACGGAAATGTGTTGTAAACACACAAAAACATCTACCAGAACAAAATCGTTAAGAAAAAGACTATTTAAAAAAAAGTTACCTCAGCATTAGAACAACATATTCAATTATTCCAAGCAATAGTAGATTATAAAGTATCTTATTTCCATCAAGAGACAAATATGAAGGAAAGGGTACACAACACAACACAACACAAATTCTTGGTACAAGCTTAACCAATACAACTTTCTAAAAGAAGCAAGCTATCATTGGTGAAAACATTTGTTTGCATTCAAAATATTTAAGTAAAATCATGACATTAAAGACAATTTCTTACTAAAAATTCATGTATTTTTTTCAAATTGTAAAATAATGCATTATTATGCTTGTTACTATGTCCTCATTTCCCAAAACACAAAAGCAAAATTTATTTCACTAATCATGCTGACTGCATGATTTATGCGTTAAAATCTTTTTAAAGGTCATCAGACAAGGCCAAAACATACCTCGCAAACTCTTCATTATCGTAATCTGTTGAATTTAAAATTATGTTAATCTGTAAAATAATCCATTTCACAATATCCTTGCTATTTTTGTTCACTGGTTGTCACTGGTCAACCTGGGATGAGGTCAACATTTCATAAACAATTTTACCTCAGAGTTTGCATTAACAAGCCATGTACAATACATGAAATAACATGGTCAGTCAACCAACAGGTTTTTAATGACATTAGTTAGGTGTAAATATCTACTAGACCAGAAACTTTAACAAATATTTAACTTGAAACTCTAGATTAGTTTTGTGTGTCTCATTTGACCTTTACAGTGAAGAAACTTGACTCTTAATAGTAAAACATTCATATTTAAATTGCATATTTTGATAAATATTCGACATGTTCAGGTGTTATATTGAAGAAAAACTAATATTTTACAAGGAGGTCTCAACAGTTCTTTACTTGCCTGGAAATGTGAGGCTTCCAGATCATCAAATTTGCACATACCAACAAACATATTTCAAATAGCTTTGAAGTAAGCAAAAAATGTTTGTATTGTTGGAAGATGCATATCTCTAAAATTCCTGATACATAAACAACATAGATAAATTTGAGAGAACATCGAACAATCATGCCTGTGAATTGTGTAATACAAAACATTATACATATTAAATAAAAAGAGGATAATCAAAATCAAGTACAAAAAGACCACAAAACAGAAAGAAAAATCAAAACAATAGTATTAAATTTTGTGTTAACATACATTTCATTTTCAACGATGTAGAACAGTTGAAGTCAAGATCCAGGAGTAATAATATTCAGGTAACTACTTTTTGTTGAAGACCGAATAACACAGTCAATCGTTAAAATTACATGAAGCCAACAATTTTCCTGTCATTTTTAAACCACTTGGAGATACCTCATTCACAGCATATTTGAACATGATCAAATTTCTCATAAGTTGGATAGGATTCAGTTTTATTTCACATACACAATTGTAATATTGAGATACAAGAGTAGAATATCAATAAACAATTGGCCATAAACAACCACACAATTTCATGTCCTCAAATTTAAGTCTTGACAAAAACAAAAAGCCCAACACATCTCATCCACTACAGTGGAATGTAAATTCTTGATTCTCACATAAAAAATATGAGGTTCATTCACTATTTATCACTACTCTACCTCCTTAATACATATTAGAATTTTAAGCCAGACTTATGTCATAACTGCTGGCAGATTTTGATTCAATATAAATTAATAAAATATTCACAACATTTTATTCAATAAACATGTCTGTCTGAGAATTAGAATAATGCAGTCATGAAAATATTAGTCACTACTAGACTATATTGTATACTAAAAACAACAAACAGTACTTCACATATTTGGCATAATTATACAGTTAACACAAGCTTATTAATTCATTTCTGTTGTACTGAAAACACTGTAATCCAAAAATAGATTGCATATTCAACCATAGTTCACCTGTCTCATGTAAAGAATATCCATTTCAGTTAAATTTACGAGATTATTTATTTTTGACTGACATTCTACTTATTTATAACAGATATAATCCCTGTTTGAGAATAATTCCATTCGCGAATTACAATACATTCGAAATAGATTCAAGTCACAACGCCATTTTCACACTCCACTCCTACACATCCGTAAACAATGTCATCTTAATCTAGCAGTAAATTCTATAAACACTGCACAAAAAGTTACAAATACGTCACACATTATAACTACTGCCAAATCTGATTTCAACCCCATAGCAAACTATAACAGTATAACAAGTCTTTAGATATCAGTTCTAAAGAATTTACAAATTATAATCTTGAGAGCCTTTAACTACAAATTTGACGAATTCTGTTATCAATGTGTTTCTGTTCATTTCTCACATCTCGTAATAAAGCTGCTTATCAAGTCATTTGTTCAACTTGGCAACTATGTAAAAACCATTCTCATTCAATATTGCTACTGCTCTAAAAATATATGACTGTTGTATAACATGAATAATTGTAAGCACAACACAATATATTCTAGTCTTTCTTTAAACAATTTAAAAATGGTCTAAAAAAAACAGTCATGCTTTCTGTTATAACTTGTACACCATAACAATATTAGATTAAACCGTAAACACAAGTCACACTGATATGTAGCATAAAAGACAGGCCTTTTTTTCATTATGTAATTAGAACAGCTCAGCCAATCAATATATGAATGGAGTGAGTCACAAAGGACAGACAACCATTTGTTCTGTTTCTACTGTCTTATCAGTTACTCTAAGGATAGTAATAGATATCTGAGTAAATGTGTTCAATATTCTGTATTTAATGTGAACTTTAGAAAAATGTGTTTTTATTGGTTAAAATATGTTCAAATGCATGTAATTCATGGGCTTATCAGTTGCAGGAATTCATCAACAGCAAATATTTGAAGTTATCCAGTGAGTTGAGGTGCGTGTACTTGTTCACTAAACCAATCACATGTTTTGGTCAAAAAGTAGGAGATCGTGAAGCTTTCACCGACTACTTGAGAGAAGCAAATTTTGTCCAAATCATCATCATCAAGACTACAAATGGCACCAAGTAATTTGTCAAATGAATATAAAATCTAATATTACCAATATAAGAAATATATAAATATTCATGTGTATATCTTGCAAATTATTAGCCCATGACCTGGTCATTTTTTTTATTGTATTTTAAAAGATCCTGTGTACATGTACATGTTAGCGTGCACATAAAAGAACCCTTCGCAGTTGGAATTTCCCCCATAATAAACTGCATATCATACGCATGGCTTCATTAGCTAGGTTAGCACAGCAAAGTAGGACTAAAAAGAAACATTTCATACCAGTTCCCTTTTATTTTCAATGTTTCTCCATTAAAAGTTATCTTTGGTTATGCTAGAAGTAATAAAACTTTCATTGCAAAATATTATGTCAGCGTAACCCTAGTTTAAGTATTTATCACTGCCATTGCATGTGAACTAGTGAAAGTCTATCTGCTGGTATCTAGTCTCAACTTACATTATCTGTTATCTAACGTTACTATAAACTTGATGAACTAATCATCTTATTCTCACTCAACCAGACCTTCAGTCTAGCATAAAGTAGTAGAGTAAAAGTACACACTGATGTATACATGTGTTATGTAAGATTAACAAAACTGCAAGGGGCCTGTGGTAGTAGTAGTAGTGGTAGTAGTGAAGCTGCACATTGGCTTTAAGACTAGAACCTCCTGGTTTTGAATCCCTGTATATGGGCCAAGTAAAACCTTAGATCTTTGAAGCCTGGATTCTAGTTGTCATCAGTGGCGACTACTGGATTGATACGGAATGTGTGCCTAGTCGTTCGTAAAGGACAAACAAATGAGATCCACCAAGGTAACCATTGGCATGCATGTGGCCGGTTTACAAGGATTTCAAAAGGATAATATGGAATATCATGTGTATAATTTCAAATCAATTGAATAACAATCTGATTAAAATACAAATCTATATTTCTTTTTGTTTTTTTTATACTTTTGATGGCCTACATACTACATGAAGATCTGACAAGTTGTACTCGAAGGTTGTGTCAGCGTTCGTACGAGCAGCTTTTGATCCTATGACGTCAGACATTGATTACGAGCAGCTTTTGATCCTATGACGTCAGACATTGATGAATCAATCAGCAATGACGTTTCTAGTGGTTTACTCACAGTTCCATGCATGGCACGCCAAGAAGTCCCGTAACAGAACATTTTATTAGCTTATACCTCACTTCAATCAAAATGCCAGTAATATAACAACTCTTCCAGATCCTAGTGTATTAAAGACAAGTAAAACGAAATTTTGAACCATAAAAAACTAAATAAAATAGGATCTGTGTTTTAATCAGATTGATTGGATAAAAACTTATCGTCTTCACTTTATATAAATCTTATGGCAATCAAAAGATAATTTCAAAGTGGTCACCGGCCAAGGAATATAACTCTGTAAATCATTTAAACACAATAACATAACCTTCTTCGTCAGATAAAAATAGAAACTGTGTAAAAATTCAAATAACTTTATCAGATGATAACTTTAGGCTGCAGAGTGTCCACAAGGTTTTTCATATTGATAAATAATCATCAGGAATTATTGAGGTTCAATATAGGCTTCTTTGTCTCACTAATGTCAATACTGTTATCAAAAGTCAAGTCAATCAGATGCTAGCTTTAGTTGCGAGCAATTGAGGACAACTAACAAACATACATGTAAGGACAAGTGAAATGGAAATATATTAGCAAATTTCAATTGAGTGTATAAAACCCCAAATAATTAATCTTGGAAATTATACGTATACATAATCTCTCACCTGTACGTCTACATAAAGTAGAGATCGATCTTAAAACAGATTTCATAGAAAATGTCCACAAATAAAATAAATTCACAACTCTCTAAAAGTACATATATGCTTTCAATCCAGACATCCCAACAGAAATAACACAAAATTTATTCTGCACAAACTTTACAATGCACAACCTTTTATTTTCTCCTCATACAATCTGGTAAAAAATTCTAATTTGCTAAAACTGCACACATGTCTAACTAGACTACCTATTGGATGTAATGTATGTGCATTTCATGTGCATGTGTTCACACACAGTTTACCTGAAGCTGTTCGTTTACGTCGGTAGACTTGAAGATGAGCAGCTGATGATGGGAAGAAAAAAGAAATAACAGAAAGAGAGAAAAAACAAACATTCAACGAATAAAGCAACAGACTAAACAAAGATTAGCTTTACTATATTTTAGCAGTATAATTCTATTTCCCTTGGTTACAATGAATATAGTATTATAAAATGTAAATAAAACACAATTTTTACAATACATGCAGCCTATACACATTATAACAATACAACAGACAGAGGACAGGAGGCTCTCTTCTTAATCATGGCTAACTGTGACTACTGACAAATAGTTTCTCTCTAATGTTCTAATGTGAACAAAATGACAGCTTCAGCTTCTGAAATCCACCTAGTGATGTGAGTAACTTACTCTTCTAACACATTCAATATACATTATATCCTTTTTTTAAATTTGAATAAAGATTCCTGGAAACCTGAAAATATGGTACACACAGACATTGTCAGGCACAGAATCAGGCTTTGTCCAACACCACCCTTCTTGTGTCCATCATTTAGTCTGGTACAGATTTGACTTTTTTCTGTGTTTTATTAATAATACAGTCATACATATCAACTGTAGAATTAATAAAATAATAAATAATTGCGGAGTACTTACATGCAGAAGAGGTTTTAGAAGCAACCAGAGGTTTTCTCGTTTTGGTGCCAGCACTGGTTGGAACTCTTTTGGCTTGGAAGGCTTTTGTTGACATCGGTTTCGCGAAGTCAAGTTCATCATCGCTGTTACATGCACTTGACGATCCTCTAGATGGTGCTGTAAAATATAATTAGACATATTTACAATCATGTAAAATATGACAAAATCACTTTGTTTTACAATAAATGTGATTCAATGTGTTAATATTAAGGTTGTGTGTACTGTGCATGGCCAGGTATAACATCAATTTCATTTGTGATTTACATGGTGTACTTAATTTCTGGTGGACATTTATTTTACATGTATGTTCTGTTATGGTATGATCAATCATTATGGGAGTGCTGATATCAGGTAGATATACTCATGAATAAATTGCCGGTCACCAAATCTGGCTATTTAAACGATAATTCCATGCCACAAATCTGATACATGTATAAATTCTGTAAATGCATTTACTAATAGTAATAAATATTTGTACCTTTTTGTGTTATTTGCCACATTTGGTGTGTTTACAACTTCTATGGGATTATGTGGTTATTTGCCAGGTTTAGTGTTCAGTGTGTGTGTTTTAGGGTTTACTACTAAAATTTTATAATGTGTACATGGTGTTTTTCTAGTAGAATTGAGCATTGGCTATGTGACATGTACAGTGATATTTTTTTTATGAGAGAGGGAGAAATGGGGTTTAACGTCCTCTTGACACAAACTAGGTCATTTCGGGACCAACACATGGGTCAATTTTATTTCAATAATTTACTTGCGTATAGGGGCTTCTAGCAGTGGGAGGAACCCGGAGAAAAACCCACGAGGGTTGACAGGCGACTCTACTCCCTCTCACGTACAACCAGGGATTCGAAATCACGCCAGTTGACTCAATTACAGACCTTATGATACAGAGCGGCACACTTGCTAACAATTCGGCCATCCGACCCCCCCTTTTCTTTATGAATAGCAGCTATGTTCAGATGGAAAAACAAGCTATGTAATACAGTATGTTAGTAATAGCTAAGCAAGTTATTTATATTTGTTTTTATATGTCGGCTACCAAGTATATTTAGGTACTGCTATGTTTATATTGGTCTACACTAGAATGTGCAGTAGGTACCTATTAAATATTATAGCTTTACTTGTAGAAGGATAAAATATATTATTGGGGATTTTGTGCTGATGTATGAGACTATATAATAATTTATTAGGTTTTTTTTAACAAGTATTTAATTAAAACCAGATGTATCCCGACTCCTCATCCACATTATGATTTTCACAGATTTTTCAACAGTAAAAACGCTCTCACTGATTTAAACATTCTTCCATTTAAACACATGGCAGTAATTCTAGATCAAATATCCTTGGGATAAACTTATCCTATGAAAGTGGAGGCAAGGTTTATACATTCATTAATCAGATAATGGGATTTTTTTTCACTTTTTTTTTTCAAAATCAAGGGGAATTAGCTGGGTTTGCAGGATGTTTCTTCAAATATGAGGCTGGAGTTTGGTTCTTGTGGTTATTTTGTACAGCAGAGTTTACAAATGCTTCTAAAAAGTAATTAAGTAATAAGGTAGCCAGTATTTTGGAGGTAGGACAATCTGGTAAGTTCAGGTAATTAGTGAGTAACATGAACCAGATGTTTGTCTTTCAGTTTAACTTTAACTCAAGTATCAGTAATCTATATTAACAACAGTAACCCATCATATAGTAACCTGATATACTATATTATAACACCTGAAACTCAAACAGTAGTCAATTCTAAAATTTCAAGTTAATCATAGTTTTTTTCCTCAGTCATCAGTACCCCAGATCAACTTCCCAGCAAAATTTCCAAGATTAAATTGAATATTATATCACCCCTATTCAAACTAAAAATGTTAGTATTCATTGTTAAAATTTCAAAGTCATTTCAATCTAACAGAATTGGCTTTGTTTCCCTCTAGAAATAGTTACTTAATATCAATTTATTTAAAACAATATTTTTTTTGTTTGAAAAAAAAAACCAAAACCAAAACAAGTGAAGCGAAAGTATTTTGAATATTCACACCTTAAAATCAAAATTCAATATGATTAGTACTGAAATTACAAAACAATAAAGTGGCTCAAAATGTTTAGGTTTTAAATGTTTAGGTTTTATTTTAATCACAATGGTTCCATCTGAATCAGTATAGGAACTACATGTAGCATGTCTATTCTATTTCATAGAAAATATAAAACACCTGGTAGTTTAATATTAAACATAAACATGATTAGATGGTGGACATCTAGACCACCCAATAGACACATTAATTATCATACACTCCCAATACAAAACTTTATACTTCTAGTGTTCATAAGAAAATCAACATTCTTATTTAAAAGATTCTGCAAGCTTATACTGGTTATAAATATTTATTCAAACAAACATATAAAATTCAGCCTATGTAATAACTTGATCTTTCAGCACACCACTTTTTTGTGCAATCACAGATGTAAAGTTTCAATGTATCTTGAAAATCAAACATTTCCTTGTTATATTATATTTTATGATAATTTAAACTTGATAAATATATTCTAACAACATGTTACCATCCTGAAATCATTTACTAATATTTTCTCTTCCTTACCTTTGAGTGGGAAAAGTGATTTACACTTTTTCACAATTTTATCCCTTATGGACACCATTCTAATTTATTGAAATAAGAACTGTATCACTGGTAATATATAATCCAAACTATATTACACTAATATAACAAACTTTTTCATAAACATTCAGATGACACTTGTAGAAATAATAGAAAAATATTTTTTATGAGCTGGAATCATTACGATGTTCAGTCTGTAAATTTCACGTCATCATTTTTTCATCAATTGGCAGTCACACAAAACATTAACATTGTTTTATTCACAGCATTCTGTGTTCACAATTTCTACTGGTACTAGTTCATTTACAGTTCTAATTTTCAGGTTGTTCACTATACATTTACTGGTATCATTAAAACTTATTTTTCAATACCTTTTCCACTTTTACACATTTTAGGAAATACTGAAAATCAATTATGGTTTTTAGAGAGCTAACAGGATTAAGTTTCTTTTCTTTCTTGAGCAATTATTGTCAAGATTTAAGATTTACAAACGCAAACATGACAAGATAACCCAGTTATACAAGTTATACATTAATTCTTTTTTTTTTTCATCTTCTCTACTGGCTTTGAATGTTGAAATCGGTGAAAAACAAGATATAATTCATAACTTGTTGAATAGTGACTTCATGAAATGGTCAGAAACATAATTTTCATTTCTTCACTAGCTAGCACATCTTTGGAAATGAAATCACCATCAAAAAAAAAAAATTATCACCAAAATAAACAGAAGGATCTTAATATAACTGACTGTATGTCGATGTTTCTCCCAGTTTTATCACAGGTTAATTCACAAAAACATCTTGTAAGTAACTTCAAAATACACAGCACGAGTCTCTAAACAACTTTGACATTTCCAGAAAAAAATTTACAAACTTGATTCTAGAAATATGGAGGTATCTCCAGGTTGAAGAGGTAAAGTTCTTGTGGAGTGGAATTTGAGATGGTATGCTCCACAGCTGGCAGAAAGTGAAACACTACTCTAGTCTGACAGTAAAATGGTGGCTATAATTAGAAACTGTCAAAAATCCATCTGTTGAAGTAGAAATCTTAAATCATTAGATTCATTTAACCTATAGTCCTATAGGTTTTTAGCACCCACACACACACACATGAACATTTTACGATTTTCTGACTGGTAATAGTTAAGAAGTTCTATTGGTAACACAAAATCCTATAAGTTTAAGCTGAGCTGATTTTAAGGAGAACACATGCACCCCAATAGATTAAGTTAGTCTGATAAACATCTTAACTTAAAGCTTCACCTACTGGCTGTCATATATTGTCTTGTAGCAGACCTTTCCATGAGTAGGTGGTATGCTCCTACCAGGTTAATGGAACGTTGTAGTTTAAGAGTCTACATAATAAATAATGATATAATTATATGAACACTATTTGGAACTATGAATCTGTTTCTTCAAGAAAACCTAACTGCTTACAAATTCTCTATTCCGTTACAAGTTTCTGAAGTGTAACCCCCACAGTCAAACGATGTAGTATCATCACTAACTATTTTTACAGTTAAAATGAGCATGAATACATAACATTATAACCTGTAGAACAAGCAAATCTAGTTATCAAAAAATTTTCTTTACAAAAAAAACCCCTCAAACTTTTAATTAATATACATGTAACTGATGTAAAGGTAACCATCCAAATCCCTAAATGTTCCGTCTATCCATTGATCATCATTTTAGAAATTTAATGATTCCTGATTGATTATTGGTTTCTAGTATTCCACATTGTTTCAAGCCAAAGAGATATTATCGAGTCAAGTTTATCATTGACAGTGAAGATAGATATATTTAGAAAAGTAATGAGAAAGAAGGTAGTAATCAGTATCTAGAATGATGAACTAGTGATGAGATCATGTCAGTAAAACTAAACTCTAACCAAACAATATTGAGATAAAGTAACATCTGTAAAGGCAGACACAAAAAAAACAACTTCATTCAAGACAACAGACCTAGAAAAGATATGAGGGTGTACAACGAGGTAATGTAATAAAATATTAAAACCATTGTATAAGCTTATTTAAGAGGTAATGTAATAAAATCATTGTAAATTTAAACCAAAAACTTGAATATCAAATATGGCTGCGATCTGCTTTACTTGTGATCTGTAAAGCAAAATATGATTGTGTTGTCCCTATTTTATCCAGGAGAGTTCAAATAATGCTGAGCCGCATACTGCCTAGACCCAATAATGCAGCCCTAGAAAATACTGGACAGACACTATCATCAAAAAGTAGAAGAAACAAGTATTTATTTCATATTGGCCTAAGTATGTGGATTATATTAGTAGTAATATACAAGCTAGGAGTAAGGTAATGTTAAGTTACGAGATTCACTCACTGATTGTAGAAACATGAACATTCGATATCATCATTCTTATTACCTACTCCCAACATCTCACTTTACAAATACCTGGAGATTCGTTAGCACAGGTAAATGTAGTCTGCCAGGTAAACAAAAAATATCAACCATGTTCTGTCTGGCATTCCTG